GGGTCACTGACTGACTGACGCGGCGGGGTCGGCGGAGAGTTTTATCTGTGGTGTTTTTTATGTTTCCCCCGGGTTTTTTGACTTGGTTTGGGTTTCTGGCACTGTTGTGAGGGTAGAGCCTCCGGGCGGGAACGGCTTGGGGGCGCGTGCCCCTCTGAGGTAAAAATTCCCGCCCGAGGGTCGCAGGCGCCCGTCGCCTCCCTCCTCTCAGAGCTCGGTTTGTGGGGGTGTGATTTAATTCGTCGTTTCGGGATAGTAAAGCCGGGCCTGTGAAAGATAGGATTCAGCTGAGCTGCAAGTCTCTCGTACCCCAATCAGGACACCTCACAGGTGAATTGGAAGTCTCTTGATTACCTGAAACGCCAATTATAACTATCCAGGTGGCTTGTCTGAACAGATAAAGGCATACCTAAAGTTATGAATCCTGCATTAGTAAACACTTCTATGTATTTTGTATGTTTTGCTTTCCATCTTTGTCCTGGTTTTGGCTCTGAGAGGGCTGCCTGATTTTTCAGTGGTTTCATCAACAAGGTTTAGACACCACGGGGTGGGGGTCTCTCATTTTTTAAGGTGTCCCTGAGTGTTAATGGAGGGTGGAAGGGGAACAACTATATCATTTGGCATAAATTTTTTTTCACTGAGGTTCTGAACTTTCATTTGAAAACTTTGGGAGTTCACACGGCAAGGAAGGTTGTACACTACTAGCATGTATTAATCCCCGGACTCTGAAGTGGAGCTCTACAGTGAAGCTCACGAAAATTGTCATCTATGTGTCAATATCAATCTTGAATGTCAGTTCAGAGTTCAGGGTCTGAGCCTGTTGTCAACTGAACCATTAGAGCTGCACGCTAGGAAAAATAGAGCATTTTCTTGTGTGAGTTACTCCACGTTGCTTTTGAACTCTCTTTATACAGGCAGAGTATATGGTGTCGCAGCTCTGCCACTGTAAGCGCGTCACACAGGACATCTTAGCAAAACTGAAATGTTGCAAGTGTGACATGTATTGCATGTGGAATACAGAAGGTAAAGGCAGAGGCAGTTGTGTAAGATCTATTTGTATTAGGGGTGTCTGGTGACAGTGTTTGTTACAGGCTTGTCCTTTAGCAGTGAATCTTCTCTGCTGGTAGCACAGACAATTGTGGTATGCAAAGCCCTGACCAGAAGTAATTGTCTGATGGGCAGGCTTTGGTCTTTGGTAGGCTGAGGAACCAGCTCTTGAGTTGCTCTGTAAGCAGCGGTTTGAACAGGTGTTCCTAAAAATGGTTGGAGATTGAAGCATTGTGTGTCACCCCGGCTGTTCAGAGAAGGGTGGATGTGTAAATACCACAGATGATAAGTTGGCTATAGCTAGACTGTGGGTTGCTCTTTCCCATGGAAAAAACAAAAAAAATCTCATCTGAAGTGCTCACAACATGTTCTCCTGTCCCATAATGAGGCTGCAGTACTACACTTCATGGCTGTGATACAGAGTAGCTAATAGCTGTTAAATTAATTCCTTGGGGCTTTGGGGTTGGGAGGAGGTGTTGAATATGACACTTAATTGTGAAGTAGGATCCATGTTGCTGAGTAGGAAATACTGCACCCTTTTCCCTCTATTGCTGTCACACAACTGCAGTTATGCTAAATGAAACTAAACACATTGTAGATGATCTTATAAACAGAAATTTCAGTACCAACTCTCCAAGTGCTAAGTAATCATGAAGTAGGCCTCTGGAAACTGCTATTAGCAAAGTTTTGGTAATAATACATTTTGAACTGCTGTTGTCTGCCATCTGCTTTTGCGCCTTCAGGCATTATGCTGTGCTTTCAAGTTTTCGGCTGTAATCACAAAGGGTGGAAAATTCTTGTTTTGTTTTGTTACCTTAACAAAAGTTGTGATTCTTTTGTAATTTCTTTTCTCCAACAGCTGGCCTTTGGTTTCAGCATCGTAAGGCCCTTGGTATAATCATCAGACAGCCACTACATTTCTCAGTGTTTTGCTGCAACTGGAAGATTAGTCATTGCCGCTTTCTTGAAAGCAACTGTTGAAAATATTTTTTTTTAACATTTGAGTGATGTGCCTTTCATATCTTGAAACATTTCTGTGGTTGACTTTAGACTGTGTTGTATGCTTCACTTTTATTGATCAGAGAGGAAGTTGAAGTCTTAGTATGTTTTTGATCAATATGGTATATGACAGCATGTTTATTAACTAGCACTAATAAATATATATGTGAAGAAAATGCTGAGAAAGGCTAAATGAATAATTACATTTATCCCCGTGGACCTTTGTGTTCTAAGACATCAGGTTTTGCTGTCTCTGATTTGTGCTTTCTCTCCAAATTTGAGAAGCTATAAAAAGTGCTTAGAAGTCTGAATCGCCTACTGTTCATGTTACATTCACTTACATTTAGAGGTGGGCATCTCGCCTTTTTGCTTTTGCTACTGTTCTGAGCTTCTAGAAGGTCTTAAACATATTGCAGTAGAAGTTTATTGGTTTGGAGTAGCTGAGGTAGGAATGATGTATGGTGTTTCTTGTTTTGATTCAGTATGCAGTATTATGCTGTTGCTGTGCTTCATCCCAGAGGTGATGTGTGCTTCAGTGATGGGTAAAATTAACACTGAAGTGCTTTATAAGGTACCTAGGGATCTTTTGGACTTCAAGGATGAAAGTATTACTGAGGTGAGGGTTGTGGAAGCCTCTAAAGTACTTCAGGAAGAAATTAATCTCTTTATTATGCCGTCTTAAAAAGTGTTATTCTGCTGCTGATGTGGGTATGGGAGCCTAGCTTTTTCAGGTTCCTTGTTCATTTATTATGTCTTCAAATAATTTCCATATTAAAATCAGAGTTTTTTCTTTTTCTTTCTACAGATATAATCTAGATTATCATGCAATAAATTTATTTTCATCTTGATAATTGCTATGAGTAATAAGAGGTTTGGCAGATGTAATTGTGCCCTCTCTTAGAGCTCAGCAATTGTAGTGAGCTGCTTTTCTTGTTGCACCAAAACTACTTGTTGCGTTCTAAGTGAATGGGGAAAGCTAGTTCAGCCTGGCAGGAGGTGTCTGCACCAGCAAGGGCCTACCTTATCTTTACTGAGCTAGAGAGGACCACACATTTCCAGAGCAGATTTGCTCTGCCACAATCTTGACTCTTCCTCCTCCTTAATCTAAGCAAACAGCACAATCTAAGCAAACTGCCTCCCATGTAATATCTTCATGGCCCCTGGCAGACAGCATCATGTTTGCTGGGGTGGCACTCAGCATAAGCTGAGAACATTGATGGCTGTACAGGTATTGATCTATTTTCACCCTCATTGCTGATTAGGTAAAAGAAGAAGGAAATTTCAGATTGAGTGTCAAATCCCAGGATTTGTGAAGCTGGCAGGGGAGGAAGTCTGACCTCAAAAATGCACAAACGATGACAGGTTCTATGGAGATTAGTCAGAAGTGCTCCACAGTGCCAGTTTTTGCTATCACTGCCCATATCTGTGTCTCCATTACTGCTTTGGGCTCCAGTTGTCTTCTGCTGCTCTTGTCTTTTTACCTTCTGCTTTGCTGTTCTTTCTAATGAAATCTTCTTTGTGCGCAGTTAAAAATATTGCCCCTTGGTTCTGTTTCCTTATTATGCAATGCCATTTTTCTTTTCCTTTGTTTATTGCCTTTTCAGGTTTAAAATTAGAAACTACCAACCAAATAAAAAAATCCTTGTATTTAAGAGGAATGATCCTGGAAGTTTTCCATTCCAGTTCTTTGTCTCTGCTCTACCTGTAGGCAATCTGTAAAAACTAAGCAAGAGGGAAAGCATGTAGCAGGCTGTTTCTAGAACCATGGAATCTGCCTGGGGGGAGGGACATGTGTACAAGATCAATACTTTTATTAGCCAAAATACTCTTATTTGTAAAGAAACAACAAAGTTGCTTTTCATTATATAGTCATGATCTCTAATGCTTAAAAGTATATAGAGCTTTTCGATCTGAATACTGCCTAAAGGAACATAGCATTCTGCATTCTGCTTTGTAGGGCTTGTCACTGCAAATAAGCACAAGGCTGGGGAGGGGGAGGGTGGTAGAAAGTTAGGCCTGGGTAAGAAGAAAGTGCTATTTAAATAACTTACCCTGCTACTAGTGTGACGTCTGTGAAGGAAAAAAACACTGATACCCAATACTTTTGGAAGAATATATCAATGGATGCTTTCACAGCATGTGTTATGACTAGCAGGTGGTATAACATTTTAATTTTGTTTATGAAGGCATGAATTAATTCATAGACACATGCATACTCCCTGTGTTTTTAAACGAATCTCTCTGTATGATCAAAACCTTGGTTATTCAATGTTTTGGTTTGTGGCACTTCAAAAAGTAGTGTTGCAAATAATCTTGCAAATAAATCTAATGTAAACTTTGTGCTTGCCAAATACTGTATGTTTTAGTTGGATGTCTATTGCAAGGTGCTTCCTGAAAAATCTTATAAGAAATGTAAGAAATTTTAATTGTAAACTTCAGCCTTATTTAAAATAAAATGCTTTTTCCCAAAGGGGAAATAAGTGCGTGGAGCAAAAGTATGGTTTTAAGAGATTCTCCAAGCTATGAAAGGAATGGGAATGAGCTTGAAATTGAACCCTCAAGGATGTGCACCTTCTTGGCTTGTAGTAGGATGACAAAGGGAAACTGTCCTTTTCCATTTGAAGCTTAAAAAAATGTTACCTCTGCTGGAGTTTCGCAATTTGCTTGCTTTTTTTTTTTTTCTTTTTTTCACTGATACTTTTCCTTTTATAATTATTCCTTAGGGTGAAAAATTTGGCCCCTTTGCAGGGGAGAAGCGAATGCCGCAGGAACTGGATGAGAACACAGACTGCAGGCTCATGTGGGAAGTGAGTAGTCTAGAGTGACATCATCACATCTAGCAGAAAGTGCTCTCAGAATTAAGTTTATACTGTAACAAATCCTTTTTTTTTTATTTTCTTTTTTCCCTAGCATAAAGATACTGTAATGAGATTTTGTACTTATTGATCCCTTTAAAATATGCTTTTTGGGTGGAAGGGGAATGACTTTTTAAAACAATGAAGAAATAGCAAAAGATAGTTTCTAATCAATGAAGTGTGAAAAATATCAAGTCAAGGAAAACACAAAAATATAACAACATTGTGAAAACTATTGGAAAATGTGAAAATAAAAAAAATAGATTAAAATAACTTGAATATAGGAGGATGGTTGTAAGTTACTGAAATACTGATTTATGCTGATCAGCAGGTGTCAGCTCGTAGCTTCCTCCAACTGTGATATAAAACATTTTCTTCTGTGACACTAGTGCTAGGGTTTGGCAATTGTATAAGTGAAGTTTTTAAGTTTTAGCAACTTTTGTAATGCAATGTGTAGTTGTGAGATCTTTAGCAAAATAAAAACCTGGTGCTGTGGGTAGATGAAAGTATAGTGAGTTTCAGGGCTCTTTTTCATATATATTAGGCAGCCACAGTAGTTTATACACTAGATCTTGTAATTGGGTCCCTAACCCATCCTAGTTCCTGTCATAATTGTGTTTGCCTGTAGCAAAAATCTGTCTGAGTTTACCAGTTGAGAAGATTACACTAACTGATAAATACTTGCAATAACAACATTTCCAGCTTGTTATAAACACCTGCTTTTTGGTGCTTCTGTTCCATTTTTGTAGTCTTTCTTTCCTGCTATAGTTCTTTGAGCAGAATTCCTTTCCTTTTTTTATTTCTTTTTTTTTTTTCACCCCCAGCTGAGCAGTTTCTATGGAATGCATATTTTGTCCTGTTTTACACTGAGAAGGGGTCTAATTTCCTACTTTTTCACCTTTCTATGGCTAGAGCTGGAAGGATGACTGTTACTTATATGTTATGTGGCACTGCACAAAAAAAAGCTTATTATGTTTGACATCTGGCTTAAAGCACTATCTGTGCATTTATTACAAAATAAATGTTTGTTTCAAAAAAAACCCTCTAGCATTAGCATCGCTGAGCGGCTTATAAAGAGAGCGTAGTATTGATACAGTCTTAGCAGAACTATAAATAGATTCTGTACGCTGGAACAATGAGTGAGAGAATGCTAAAAGCCCATCTTATTAAACCAAAACTCAGTATAAATACAGTGAGTGGCAAAATATTCCTAGATTAGTGTTAACTCAAGTCTGTGAATCCATGTGCCTTTTTTTCCCCCTTCCCTTTGCTTGCTTTATTTTATTTTTTTTTCTTTTTTAATCTAGGGGTGTGCCCAAAATCCTTTCCCAGAGAGGTGTGGACAATTCGTTCCCCTCTCACCTTTGGTTATGTACTCAGAGCAGCTGGTTTCATCTTCTTTGTTCACAGCTGAAAACAAAACAATACAATGTGCTTTTATTACAAATGTTTGCTGAATACACTACATGTTAATGTGTCCTGGCTCACTAGCCTTTTTATGATGTTTCTGTGGGTTATTTTAAATCAATAAAATACTTGAGCTAGAACAAGGGTTTCGGAAGGGATGGTGGGTGGATTATAGTAATGAGAAGGTCTTTAATTTAAGTTTGTTGGAAAGCCATATGATTTTCCAGATGCCTCATTGCTGGTGATTAAATACAATTTATCTGTTTCTGTAAGACAGAAAATAAAAGGCAAATACATGTATTTACGGTTGACACTAATATGACCCCATCGATACCAAATAAGAAAATGAGTTTTTTATGAGCAATTCTAAAACCATTTCATAATATCTTATTGTAACCTAGTTTTGAGAGCCTTGAAAAGATTCCTGCATACCAAATTTTATGACTTCCTGAATGTTTGAACCCAAGTTGTTCATGTTTACTGAAGTTGATCTGAACGTGAGCTTTATAATATAATTTAAATCATACTGAGGGTAGTCTTAAGTTGAAAATCGAGACCAGGAATGCAGAAAGTAAAAAATTGAACTGCCCAAGTAGATGGTTATTCCAGGGACTGCGGGAGGCAGTCACAGAAACTAGCCAAGTTTGTGCATAGTCAGCTGTACCAAAGATACTAAAAATAATTAATCTGTAGCCTGTTGGATGAAGGCACACTAAAGCCTGACCTCACAGTCTGATGGAAGTCAAAAAAATGCATTTTCAGAGAGAACACATTTAGAAAGAAGGCGAAGTACTAAAGGGTTTTTGTAAGTAGAGTAAAAATGAACGTAAGTAGAACATTTATTTTCTTGATATGTGATGCCTGGGAGCAGAGCTTCAATTATGGGGAATAGTTTTCTATGAGGACGTTTACCACATGCATTTCTAGTTGTGTGGAGTTGTGGTCTGTGATGTGGTCTGTTTTGATCAAGCTATTCCTTTTTCTTCGAGACCAGGATTGTGAATTGGCATTTTTGAGATGTCCCGTTGAGGCAGAATTGTACAAGTTATGTTTTCTTTTGGTCTTTGGGAAAACATGGAACCCAAAAAATTTATCAGGTCCAGTGATTTTGTTAAATAATGTTCTGAGGATGTTAGAGTTTGTGTTTAAATTACTTAGAGCGGAATGCCATTAATCTGCCTGTAACTTGTATAGTTTTGAATAAATGAAAGGTTTACACTTGCTCATTCAACATATTCCAGAGGACTCGGGGGGAAGCATACTTGATCTTGCTGTTATCCTTGTAAAGAGCTACACACTGAAATGTTTTATTTACAAGTGATGTGAAAGGGAAAAAGACCCAACCTGTGGTAACTATATAGTTAGGAGTAATACTAAAAAGCCAAGAAAATGTCCAAATGGCTTTGTACTTTTTCTTTCTGTCAAAAAACCCAGACTGAATTGCATGTTGTGCTAATTAAGTGCGCAGCTAGTTGCTGGTGATAGATTAAGAGTTTTTTTTCTTATTTTTAGCATCCCACTAACACCTTGATTAAATACTGCTTCATTGGTCTGTATTAGTGTACTTATCATAGCAGTTGTAAATTATGTGTATTTGCTGGAAGAGCAAGTGCTTAAGGCAAGAACAGAATAATCTTTAGATGTTGAAGTTCACAGAAGTTCGCTTTGCAAAGGGAAGAGAGCTGTTCAGTTTCTTTTCTTTATTGTGCCTAACCAAGAAAAGGACATTCATTTCACTGCTATTGGATTGTGGCAAGCAGATATATTTTTGGTGATGACTTTGGCAAATGTTAAAACAGGGAGGGCTGGAAAGACTTAGGCCTTCTTCAAATGCTCTGACATACCATGAAGAAATGTTGGTCAGGATTGGATGGCATATAATACGCTGTGTAATGCTGAATAGTACATATTTCAGGTTTGGTTTCTGTCTATCTGCCAAGATTGTTTTCTTCGTTGTTATATTAAAACCAAGGACAGAAACATTCTGGAAATCAGTCTTTCAATAGAAGCTATATTTTATGTATATGAGAAAATGAAATGAACTTATGTTTCTATTACTTAACTTTCATCACTTTTGCAGTGACGATTGTTTTCAGTTAAATAAGCATGCCTGAAAACTAGTCAAGGCAACAAAATATCTGCTATTGGCAACAACCAGCTTTGGATCAGAGCTTTAATGTTTATGATTGAGGTATGAGAAGTCAAGCACTTTAAGCTAATGGTGGTGTGGTTTTGTTTTTGTTTTTCTCTTTGATATCTTGCCTTTAAAATGTGGTTCTGGCATAGGAAGGCTCTTACATACATACAAGGCATTAGGTCCAATTATGTCCCGAGCTTCATGATACAATAAATGTTAAATTGAAGAATTCTGTGTTTGCTCTCAAGATGAATTTAATATTAGAAATCTAGTTCTTGGCGATGCAGTCTTTATTTTTTCTGTATGAAGACTACCTTCCCAGTCATTACTCCTTAGGTAGTATTTACATTTAAAACTGTTTGCTTTTAATGTTTTTGTGTGAATCTGTTTAATTTTCAGAAATGTTTTTGTTTTTCTCATTTCTTAGGCAAATGGATCTGGATGCATTTTTTTATTTTTTTTTTATTCAAATTGCATTTAAAATCACTTTTGCCACACAAGTCAGACATTGACACACAATCTCAGTTGCACGTTTGTGTCCTAGATTTTCAATTTTGTTAAATTAATACCCACTGGGGTAGATTGGAGTCCAAAGTAGTTATTAATATTCTTACCAGTTTGTTTTATTTAGCTAAATTTCATTAATCAACTCCTTTTAACATGACCAAAGATGACTAAATCAAGCTTTAGTGTATGACTTTGTATTAATTTTAGTGACTTTTGGAACAGGCACCTTAATGATCTTCTGGTTTTGGTGGTGTGAAGAATCTACTCCTGAAAGTGACTGAGCATGTTAGCCTCACATCTTCAGTTACGTGTTTTATTTAAGATGTTAGAAAGCACATGTCGATAGGTTGAGGTGGTGGTATTCTAATCTGAACTTGTTACAGATGATCACACACAATTTGCTTAAGGAGATTTGGGAATCCTTCCAGTGAACACAAAGTTCAACCCTTTTTATGAGATCTCCACAAAATGTTAGCAGAATTCTAGGAATGAGGTTTCTGAACCGTTCTGTCTCTGACAAGGTCAGATAACGTCATGCACCAGAAGAACCGTCATTAACATGAAAAACTGTTGCTGTGTAATTTGGCTGAAGAAAAATATCGCACACTGTCTATGTCCCAATATTTCTTAGCGATTAAGCAAATCAACAGTTGCTGCCTCAGGTTTCCTTTGCAAGTGTTATTTTAATAGTTTCTACAGCAGTGTTAAAATAGGAGTTTCTGTTCTGCAGTGAGCTCTGTGATGGAGGTCTGAAACTGAGGATGCAGAAGTATTGCATCTAGCTGTTTTATACTATTAACAATAAAAATCGTGTTTTCAGCTAATCAGAAAAATGCAATGCAGAAAACAGTACTCGTCTTTATATGGTTGTTTGAATGAACATAGATTTTTCAGATTTATAAATGTTTAGAAAATGGTTTCCAGAAAGCAGACAGTGTGTTTACTGCCTTCAGCAAGGATAACCATCTGCTTATTTTCAGTGAAGTTTTTTCTTCTTCTCTTGCCAGGTGTGCATGGTAGAGCATTTGCAATTGCACTCATGAGCATTTTGAAGTAGCGTAGATGACAACTTTGGATGTATTTTGAAAATCTGGAGATAATTTCACTGCAGCATAAAGGGCTAGCAGATGGAGTAGTGCAAGTTGTTGATGGGCATTACAGGCAGCTTAGACGTTATTTAGGCCTGTGTAGGGTTTCATGTGGTAGCTTATACAATGACTAGGGGCACATTTTTTCCAAATACTTGTATAGTGACATGGTGTTTGTTAATGTGGCATAATTCAATGATGTCCTGATTGATCTTGAGGTAAAACTCCTTGTGGTAACAGTGAATGTCAGGTATTTCATCTTACTGTGAAGGCATTTAACTAAATTAGTAAAGTGATACCTTTTGTGTTGATTCTCAAGGAGATAATTCTTCATAATAATCCAATCTGAGGTGCTCTCGTGTCTGGTGTGCTTTGGATCTTATATGCATTTCAGGTGTTTGACTGTAGTGAGTGACCAAATATTGAGGGTATAGTAAAATGGAAAGATATCTTGCCATGGGTTATCAGGCATGAATTTGAATCAGCCTTGTTCTAGGCTTAGGCCAAAGTCTGCCTATACTTAGATATGAGACTAATTGCTACTTAATTATTTAGTCTGGGAAATCAAAGGTGACTGCGTGTCTGGTCACATCACTCACTGGTAATAGAAACTCCAAGTTATCTCCACTGATTACAGAAAATACAGGAACATCTTGGCCTCAGTGGTCGAAAGGGCCTCAGCAATAAATGGGTCCTAGACCAAAACGGTCTACTGAACTACAGCAAGCAGCTTCAACTGTTGTGGATTTACCTTTAGAGGAAATAGGGGTAAGGTCCTGTTTCTTGTTTTTAAACAAAACATTAAATTATTACATCATCTACTGGTGGTTAGGCTTTTGAGGTCTATTTCTAGCTCTTTCACTGATTTTCCATGCTAACCAAAGGCATATCATACAGTCTTAGGTCTCTGTTTATCTATGAAATGACGGAATCCTTTATTATTTAGCAATGGTCTCATGACTTAAGAGCACCTTTAGTTTGGCGGCCTTAGAAAATCAATTAGAAATACTTTTGCACTTGAGTTCAGGTCCTGTTAGAATAGTTTTTAAAATCCTTTCTGGATTAGCCACTGTAGCTTGAGGATCTTAAGGAACACACCTCAAGCTAACTGGATGATTTTTCTTAGTTCAGGTAATACCAACTGTGTAGGAACTGGGAAGATAACATTCAAACATAGTTAGTCATGTAGACAGGTGACAGGTTGAAATGTCACAATTTTTAAGTACAAATATATTCACTACCATTGTGAAAGTGGTAGTACTATATGAAAGTATCAGGGAACCTCAATCCTGTAAAAATCTTTAGCCTTTATTTTAAGTACCTTATGACTATCTAAGATTGTAGTGATTCAGATATGTGGGGGAAATGCAGAAATTTGCTTGCAGGTACATTGAAAAAATCTTCCTTAAAGAATTTTTTACTATAGTTTGTAGTGTACAAAATATTTTTCATTTCCTCTTCCTGAAAGCATCCTCAGTATTCCAACAATTTCCTGCCAGCAATAGTTGTGGTAGGCAGGTTGTCCTGAAGATTCTTGGAGTGGTTGGGTGATTGCAGAGGAGTCTCCTGAGAGTGGACTGAAAGCTTTGTTGCAATATGAATCCTGTTCAGTTCTCCAGGTCTTTTATGGAGTAAGTGGTAAGGATATGTGTGGAAATTTTTGTAAAAGGGTGTTCTCAGAGATAAAGAAAGCCAAGCAACTTTATTCAATATGGGGATTATTATTTTTTTTTTAATTGTTGTGCTCCAGTACTGTACATGCTTAGTCCTGTCTCTGTGGTGTAGAGAGGTAAATTGCAGCATCTTTAAGTTTCTTGAGGACCACATAAGCAGCTTGACACTGTCATCCCATTTTCTTCCCTTGCTGTTATAGCTGGTACAACTGCCAGGGTTGGGGAGAGATACTGAAGCTACGCAGTACATTTCTCATGCTTTCCAGTGTCATTGATGGAGGAGTGCAGGAGGCAAACTTCCTTGTTGGTGTGGCTAGCAGAATTGCGTGGGCCTACAGTGCAACATCTGCCTTAGTGACAGCTATCTCGATCCTCTCTCCTTGGATATCAGAACAGATTTACAGGCAAACCCAGGTGTAAGCATATTAGCTTGTAGTTATTGTTTTATCTTCTAATTAAACTGGTTTTCTTGTTTGGTGATCATGCCACAAAGCAGAAGGATGACTGAGGACTTTGGTGGACTGTTACTGGAGGGAGCACCCTTTGGGACGTATTCCAAACTTCATTTTGATTAATTAATAATTCAATATGAATGATATTTAGGTGCACTTATTTTAAACTGAAAATGTAGAGTCTAGCTGTTTACTTCATTTAACTACCATGATTAGCTTGTACTGGCTTAGAGTTTGAGAAATATATTTGCGTTATATTTTATATTTGCAATATATTTTTGTTTGGTTTATATATTGATTAAGTTTGGGATTCACTGCTATGGTGCTCAAAAATCAGTTGTTCATTTAGGAAACTCATCTGTCCATGCAACCACTGAGAAAAGGAGTGGTAAATGTCACCAGTCTAGTTCGTGTTAAGTACAGTGTTTTGGCTGTTTTTCTTGACTTTTCTTCCTCACATCTGTGTATTTGCTACAGCATTATTTCTTTATGAGGTGAAAAAAGCAATAGAAAATATAGCACGCCTTTAAGGGATTTATGGTATTCTTTTATCAATAGTTTCCTTATGTGTTAAGTCTTTATGTGTGATATCTCTTCATGGATTGACAGAGATCAAGAAGGCACAACTGAGATGATCATGTATCATGGAAATGAATATAAATTATTCTTATATAATTTAAGGATCAAGCAAATGAAGAAGAATATTGGATGAAAAGGTGGATAGTGTAACATATGGTTTTTATAATAAGATCTTGATTGCTCCTCTTTCCAACTCAAACAAAGATCTGACGGAAACCTTTATAGGACCTACAAAGTGGGCTTCTGTAACCCGTTCCCTGGTAGCTAAATCACAAAGCCACTAGCTTGACTTTAATTGCTGAAAGATGCTAATCTGCAATCTTAATCATTTGCACTCAAAGTGAGGTTCTGCTCTGTGGATTCCCTATTTGGAACCCCAAAACAAAAAAACCCCAAACCCATAGAACACTTGAAAGGGAAAAGAAGAATATGGTTTTCAGTACGTGCTTTATAAGTTTCTGCAATATTTAGGATTGGTGTGGGGCAGTAAGAGTTAACAGTAATGAAGGCGTATCTACTGGATTTGGAATTTGAATGAAGAAGAGAAGTTATATTTGGTGATAAAGAAGCAAAAAGAGGATGGAGTAGTGGGATGGGAGTGGAGAACAAATTCAGGTTGGAAGTTGGTTGAGCAACTGGTAAGATAACAGAAGAGGGAAGCGGCAAAGGTAGTGGAAAAGTTGAATTCAGATATGGATGTATTCTGTGTGTAATGGTTGCCAGTGAAGGTTGAGGTGCTTCTGGAAATGTGGAAGTGAGCAGAAAGAGATGGATTTAGGAATTGGTCATAGAGGCTGAATAGGATCTGCTAGAACATAATGAGCAAAGGACAAGTGAGTCTAGAAGAGTATCAAATATGAAAAAGTAAGTGAAGGGTGAAGAACTATCAAGGCAAAGATTACTGAATGGACATGGGTGATTGCAGGAATACAAAAACTGATGAATAAGAGCCTGAACTCAGTGGTGTTGGAACCAAATGGTGGTTGGAATAGTACAGGATTAGAGAATGTCCTATCCCTTTTGTCCAGAGGTAAGTTACTGTTGGCCTTATCTGTACTGTTAGCAGAAGAGAAACACTGCAAAGCAAGTTGAGTGAGTTAGAGGACGTGCATAGGTTACTGAAGAAAACGGTCTGCTCTTGGATGGTATTTTGGAGAAGGAAGATAGGACAATAATAGTGAGTTGTGAGGAAAGGAAAAGGAATTGGAGGCAAAACACAGGAAGGTATGAGAAGAATTAGCTAGACTGTAGAAGTAAAATGCATCAGAAGATGTGAAGGAGGAGAACTCAGAAAGGAAAACTGGAAAAGGAATGACAGGGTTGGAATGGGAAAGGACCTTTCAGGTTGTATTGGTTTCTGGCAGGATCATAAAGAAAAAGAGGACTTGAAGGAAAAAAGAGAGGAAAGAACGTGAGCACCAGTGACCATACTGTCAGATTAGGAAGACCCAGGAGTCAGTTGTAATATTGTTTACTAAAGGAAAGGCTAAGAAAAGAAAGGGGGAGCTCAATAATGGAAGCTGACACCAGTTGCTGGATTTGAGTTGCCCCCCTATTCTTAGGTGAATAAATATGCTTCTAGAAAAAGGTGAATCTGCACCACAGATGTGAGTACCTGTTGAATGTAAGACTCGCTTGCTGAGCACAAGCATGCCTTAGTCTTTGTGTGATTGTGTTTGGTAAACAATTTTAATTTTGCTTGACTTTTTTTTTTTAATGTTTCAGGTTCGTGGGAGTAAAGGTGAAGTCCTTTATATCCTGGATGCAAGCAATCCACGCCATTCTAATTGGCTGCGTTTTGTCCATGAGGCTCCATCGCAGGAACAGAAGAACCTGGCAGCCATCCAGGTAGATTTGGTGAATTCCTACCATTTGCGTCCAGTTATTGATTTACTAATTTGATCTCCTCTTTGGTCTTTGTCTCTTGCAGTAAAATAGCAAGATCTGAGAAAAGTAGCAAACTGTTTTCCTTTTCCTACCTTTCTTTTTAGAAGTGAACTCTTGTGCATAAATATAATACCATAAATAAGAATGATGGGATGAAAGACCAAAGAGGTCCTTAGTTAGACTCTGATATTCTTTGAATCCACTGTGATGGAATTGCACGGAATCACCTAGACGAATTACTTCTCTTGGCTTAAAAAGTGAACAGTTTACATTAAAAAAAAAATAAAAAATCCAGAGTAGTTAACTCACTACTGTAGCAACAGTTTGACTTTCTCAATACAGCCTTATTCAGTCAAGTTAAGCTTTTGCCTGAATGCAGTCGTTTTCCTGTCATTTTGGAAATTAAAAAGATTACTACGTAACAATATACCTGGCTGAGTCAGGGCTAATGATTTAGAGGCCTAGTTGTGTTTCATGCTGAACTCAGGTATGGGCTTAGGTGTGCGGAAAGCAGAATTGTGCATTTGCTTTATAGTTTAAAATTTAATATAAAAGTGTGACACTTTTGAAAGCAAGCATGGTACTTAAAATATTCCAGTAGAAAACAGAATTGAAGGATCTAATAATCTGATAGGATGATCAGGCAATGCTTCAGGATAAGGTAATAAAAAAAAGATAATTTTATTTTTCTATTCTTGGCTATGGATCTGAATTTATCCAGCTTGTTTTTACATTTTTACATTCGTCATTTGCAGCATTCTGTGGTGATGAGTTCCACTGTTTTAATTACACGTTATGTTGAAATATGGTTCTGCTTTTCTTCTAGAAACTTCTTAATTTCACTTGATTTCCTAGTCCTTGTATAACAGTGAATAGTTACTTCAGGTTTATTTTTCTATGCCATCCTTGATTTTATAGAACCCTATTATATCCTTTCCCTCTTATTTGACAGCTCTTTTCTCAAGCTGAAGAGTCTTAGCCTGTTTCATCTCTCAGTTTTGGAAGCATTCTGTAACTTTGCGGAATGCAACAAAGACAGTGATATTTTTCTAGTTATGGCTGTTGTCCTTTTGGAGATTATGAAAGAAATTAACTATCTGCATATTTGTTTTTCAACAGCTCAGTTTTCACAGTAAAATGATTTCCAATCCCACATAAGTAAGGGTTACATAGCTGTGTTAAGTTTTTTGCTCAAAATGTATACTTTCAAAAATGTTGTTTCAGGCTAAACTAAGCTATTTGGTGGTGTAATCCAAATTTGCAAAAAATTAGGAAAAGCAGAATTATTTATCAGTATTTCTTAAAATTATTATTCTGCTTTTTCATCATGAGATGACTTTTTTCCTAGGATTTGCCTGCAGATCCTTGACAAAAGAATTTAAAAACATGCTTTGAGGTCAAAGGAAAAGAATCATTTTCCTTTGCCAAGAAAACAAAGTTCATTTCTGATGAAATAAACCAGGAAAAAAATATTTTAAAACTACTAAGTAGAAAAAGAATACTAGTAAAGCCCTAGCATGCAGTTGTGTGAAAGATGCATTATTGCTGTTCTGCCCCCTGCCCCTTACCCTCTATTCATGCTCAGTGGCAGTCCACACTAGCAATTTCAATTTCTGTGTTGATGACCTGTCCAACTCCTTAAATCTCCTACTCACTAGAGAGACTGTTTGCATATTTGGATCTTAAGCAAGCACTGCCCAGTGGATTGCTGCTGCCAGTTCCCCGGCAAACCTGGTATCAACCTCCCTCTTCCTACCCCTGTTGTGAGCTTTTCTGCGATTTCCATTCCGCTGTTGTACCGTGCCTCTTATGCCTAGCTTTTCTTCCTTTATCACAGTAGTTTAATGCTACTATTAGCAGTCTACTGTGTTGGGAAACCTAACTGGCTATCTGCCAGCCTTCAGCTGATTTGTGCCTACTTTTGAAAGCTTGAGCTTTACTAAATGTCAGTCTGTGACATTCCATCACATATGGCTAGCTGAACATGACTGCAGTTTTGCTGCTGATACTGTTTCCTTGGACCTTGTTGCTGTTCCTGTTTTAGTTCACTGTGGACAGCTTCGTCATCTGCTTTTCCTCGGGTCCTGTACTGTAGGTTGTTCTCTTTGGTTCAGGCCTCTTTAGGTCTTAACATCCAGGCTAGAATTGAACTTTGAGTAACGGGTAAGAAAGAGCGTTCGCTATTCATTCATACCTCTTGTCAGCACTCGCTGAATGACTGCTTTATTATGCTTTTCCTGATGTCTCTGACAAGTCAATGGTTAATTTAGTATGACCACTGCCTGTGTAATTATTTCTGTACGTTTTCCTTCTGTCTTTGTCTCTCAATTATATCAAGATCTAGCAAAAGATTTGCTGTCCTGCCTATAGTACCAAATATTAAAGGTCCTCATATGTGAGGAGTCCTAGACATTAGTCAGTGATTAGCATGTCATCAGTGAACAGGCAGTGTGATAGCAAAGTACAGTCAATGTTAGCAAATGCAAAGTAAGGCTCACAAGAGGGAGCAGTGTGAACAATTAATGTTCGTTATTAAATTTTAAATAAAACACTCAGTAAGATGACCTGAACTTCTGAATGGAAGTTTTTAATGGAATATCCAGTGTGTACCAGTGGGTTTTTTGATAATGAAAACAATTATTTAAAGAAATGAAAACAAACTGTTATGCTATATTGCATAATGTTATACCATGTGTGCTCAGTGCTTTCTGCATGCCTTTTTTAAAGGATCGTATTGGAGTTAAAGGATGGTTTAAAAAGAAAAGCATGGCAAGAATGTTAGTCCTGTAAGAGCTTCCACAGAAAAACATTTGGAAATGTTACAGGGAAAAATAGAATAAACACGATCAGCACGTACAAAAGGATGAAAAGTATAGGAAAAGCAAACTTAAGAAAACAAACAAATTTACTAAATTATCTTTTAGTTTTCTTTTACTGCCATCAATAATTAGCTGCCAAAATAACTTGTGTGTTCCATGTGAATGACCTTGAAGCTGTGTAGATATATATAGAAGTATTTAATTGCCTATGACGTGAACAGGCACTACCTGTATTGGTAAAACCTGAATATGCATGTATTTATTTGCAGGGTTTGATCTCACTTTAGTAGGTAGAGATGCAAATCCCAAAACTCTGCTATTCCTTTAGGGAAAAAACCCCAACAACACAGCCCACAAATCCTGCAGTATTTTAATTACACAATCTTTGTCTTTAATGTTAAGCAAATTTAAGGCCACTTCGTGCAGTAGCACTTTGTTTTATGAAATCTGAGGAAATCTGAGCACTTTGTTTTATGAAATCTGAGGAAAACATTGGTGGAGAGTTGCCTGCTTGCCACCAAGATGATAAAATGATGTTTTACAAAGAGGAAAAAGTAATGAATTACATCCGTAAAGTTGCTTTAGCTTCATTATCATTACTCACATTAACATGGCTGTGGAAAAAAAAAGAATTTGCCTTGCTGAACGAGTACCTAAAATAAAAAAAACGAAGAATACAGCTTATGACATCAAAAAAAAAATCCTAATCTTCAACCAACTGAATGATTACATATTATATAATGAAGTAGAATATGTCTGCATAGTTATAGAAAGGGCTAATTGACTAACTAAGAGGAGAAAATAGAATATTTAGAGATGGTTAGAGACTTTGTATTCTAACCAGCACATTATAATTACCCTTGTGAAATGTAAATTTTCTCCAGACATTTGTAATTTATGAAGATTTCTGTGGGGTTGGCTGAATTTTTAAACAAGTGTTTGGTTTTTCTCTCTGTTCTACTGCTTAATCTTTTAAGTAATCTTTAGCAGTGAATCTCACAAGCTAAAATTAATTCATTGAGAATATTTGACCAACGTTATTGATACTAGCCTATAACACGTGAAAATAAAGTAAACCGCAGTGGTAGAACCAAGGCTTCTCTTGCTTGTCCTAAGACTTAGAATAATAAACCAGGAGTAGCATGAGGGGAACTTGTGATGCCACCATGACCATCACTGGGAATTTTCTCCAATTGTGGCCTGCTGCAGAGGAACGTTGTTAACAAAACAACCAGCAGGGCCTAAGCAGATGGGCAGGTGGAACAACTGCAGATGTGTTCTTAGTATATAGGAGGATTATTAAAATTTTGAGAAATATTTCTTACTACATTCACTGTGCCTATGTCTGCATGCATGTAGACACATGCGTTTCACATGTAGACAAATGTGCTGCTGGTAGAGGGAGAGACTCAGATTCTCAGATTTGTGGTTCTGGAGAACTTCCATTGCTTTCACTGAAAATGCTGCCTGAGGAGCTGCTACAGTGTGGGTTTATCTGAATTCACTAGTGCTCAGAATACCTGACTATTAGTGTTTGTTTGGCTGGAAAAGCCAAACTAATTAGCCTTGGAGGAGGAATGAGTTTGAGCTGTGTTTTAGTTTGGATTGGCATCAAAGCTAATTTCTTTTCAATATAAATGCAACCAAGATCACTCAAGCATTGAGAGTCCTTAGTACTTCTTCCATTAATCTTTTTACTAACCAAAAGTACACCAATGGGAAAGAGCCAGGATTTTTTTTAGACACAAATGGTCATGAGGGAAGTGCAGACATTGTGAGGATGCAGCAGTATTGATAAGAGCTTGGTTGTTAGGATTCATGCACTTGGTCTAGGGTTAACCTGAAAAATTTATTCTGCTTGCTGTTCTCCCAGATTTATTGTGTGGTATAAGATGCGTCATGTATGATCTAATTGAAATGTGTGCTGTTTGGTTCTTTAAGGAAGTCTGGGTCTTTATTTTTGCCTGGGATACGTGGCTTTTTCTTTTTTTTTTGCTTTTAATTTCTTTTTGTTATTTTTTTGGCAAGCCAGTAATAGGAATATGCTTCCATTTATAAGGTTGTCTTGCTTTTAGAATAAGGTTGTCCTAAACAGTGATGTATTGGAGGTTTACCCCAGTGTTTTTATCCTGTCCAAGTGGAGACTGAGTGTAGAAAGACCTTTTACTATTCCTCATGTCAAGAGTTTCAGTACATGATTTGTTTTGAATTTAGACTGTAGTAAATTAAAGGTCTCCACACCTTGACAGAGGCATATGAAAAACAGCAACTCCTGGATGTATGCAAAAGTTAGGGTGGCATGCTGATATCTATCTGGACTGCAGAATATATATCTTGAGAGAAAAGAAAGCGTAATTTGTTTTGGTTTTGAATGCTGCTGTTGAGATAAGGACAGAAAAGTGGTGTGTCCTTGAAAACAGCAGCTGCATCAAGTCTATTGAATTAAATGGGTTTTGCTCTTGTGTGACAGTATCTTGTGTAATATATAACAGACTGTCTAAAGCTCGAGGAATACTTATGTCCCTGTTGACAGTTTAAATTAATCTTAATATCTTACAAAAATTAAAAATCATTATCTTTTCTTTGTGCTATGAAGCTTGTTATAAAATACATGGGTAGATGTAGTGTAAAGAAGCTTCAATTAACTTTTCTGGATGTTAATCAGATAAGCTTTTAAGATTTATGATAGAAGTTGGAAGTCTTCATAAGTCTTCATTGCGTAAAAAGGAGTCTCCTTTGGTGTTTTGGGTAGTAGTTAAAGCAGTTGGTTCACATATTGGGGAAAAAAAAAAAAAAGGGTCTGTATTTCAATTTAGGAGACAGCTGGTTTTGCTATACTTTCCGCCCCCGCCTCGCCTCTTCCCATGCCAACCTTGGTAACTTTAAGTATTGTCAAAGACCAAAGTTGCTAGCTTATGTATCTTTGGAAGCTTGTTTATTCATTTTGGAGAAGGTTTTGAAGCTTATTATTATGTAGTTTGTCCTTTCGTGCAGAATCCGGGCTGGATCTTTGGCCTTCTGTGGATCTACACTGATTTAAACTGGTACAGGGTTTTGATCTAGTGGTTTCAAGTATGTTTTACAGATATGCCTGCTAACTTGATAGTGAAGATAACTGACCAGGGTTGAAAGCCTGTTCATGAAGAAGGCTGAGGCCTTAAGAGAGAGAGAGAGAGAAAATAACACTATGTAAACATGCTACTGAAAGCTGGGTTGTAATTCATGCAGCCAACAGGCGACAGAGCTAAAGCTGTATTGGTTATGTAAATTATTTTATTTTTCTAATACTCAGTGTTTCATTCTCAAACTCTGAAGTTCTTGTCATGCAGAGTGTGGCAGGAGACGAGAACTTTAACAACACCTTCACCTTGGTCTAGTCTACAGTGCATATTGGAAAAGCCTCACAGGTGAAGCAGGGGAATATTTTGAGAATACCAGAATACAAGGGCACTTTATCAATGCAGCCACACTGCGAAAGAAATCTCAGAAAGGCTGTTCTAGCATTGTGCTCCCTGAGGAATGGAGCCAGTCCTTCTGTAGTTGAGGGCTAATATTAGTTCAGGGTGCCATACTTGTCTCTAGATGCTACTTTTTATAATGTAATTTTTCATTGCTTCCACTTACTGTTTGCAACAGGAAGGGGAAAATATTTTCTATCTGGCTGTGGAAGATATTGAAACAGACACAGAACTTCTGATTGGGTACTTGGACAGTGACATGGAAGAAGAGGAGGAGGAGGAGGAAGAAGTAACAGTTATCCAGGAAGAAGAAGACAGTAGCAACAATAAAGAAGTGCAACCAGCTGGTGAAAAAATTGCAGGTGAGCAATATGTAAAAAATAGGATAACTTGAGAGCTTACAAGTAGTAACAAAGAGGAAATAGAACACTCACTGTATAGGACTGGGCAACTGGAAGGCTCCTCACGTTTAGTTTGAGCTCTTATAGGATTTTAATCTCTATTTTGGTTTGAGTTGAAGTTATTTTCCTTGCCTAAGAAGAAGCAGACTGTCCTGTGAATAAGTGAGCCTAGATTGCATGAGAAGTTACCGTCTAAAGATGGAGCTCATTTCACCTGACATGTAGTCTTATGAAAGTTTTTGCTCTAAGAGGGATAGTTTCCCTCTTACTTAGATGGGAGAGAAATAAACCTTTTCATAAAACTGTTTAGCTAATCCTAAGGTAAGATGTCTAAGGAAAGATAGGTGACCTGAGCTGTCTGGTGAATTCCCGCATCTTTATCAATGTAGAGACAACCTGGATGACTAATTTAGGCTAACAGCCTAAGTCACACCCAACTTAATAGTTTGCATCTATTTTCAATAATGCTGATGGTAATTGACTCAAGATAGGCTGTCTATAATCCATTCAGAGACAATGTATTTTGTGAATTTTGTGATGCCATTTTGCATAATCCGTTTCTGGCAGAGAGTCTCTCTTAATACAACCAAAATATTTCCTGAAAACTATTCCTGTACTGTTTTTTTTTTTTGCCTCCAATCATGCAGATCCCCTCACCTGTAAAGAGGACCATGCATGCCCAAACTGTGAATCCAGTTTTGCCAGCCAGGAGATTCTAGCTGAACATCTTCAGACTTTGCACCAAAAACCCAGTGAAGAAAAGGAATTTAAGTGCCGAAACTGTGGAAAGAAATTCCCTGTTAAACAAGCTCTACAAAGACAGTGAGTAGAAACAGGAGTGTGTTTTCAGCGATCATTTAAATCAATTTCATTCAATCATTTATTTCTCTTGGCTTAATCACAGTTTAAGCTTTAATTTTATGCTTGTGTATTTGTACCCTTACCCTTTACATTAGTGTTTTAATATGTTATTTTATTGTATTTGTTGGAGACTTCAATTTGAATCGCAAAAATGTTGCTAATTTTTTAAGTTTTAAAATCATACACTGTAGATCAGATCTGAGCTGCTATCTGGTGGAAAAAACATTGGTCTCCATCAGTGGATTATTTAGTAGTTTAGGAGATGTAATTTTTAAGCTGTGGATGTTGTTACAGAACTGAAGTAAGATTTGGAAGAAAGTAAATGGTGTTCTAGGAGGACCAAAAAAAGGAAAAACAATGCTTCACATTTGCTTTATTAAATATTTGGGTGATGGAACAAACCCAAATAGAAACATGAAAGACGAAACTTGAGAGCACATCTTTACTGTCCTTGATATGCAAATACGCAGTTTTGTCACTGAAGTTATATACCTTACAATTATACTTTTGTACAAAAACATAAATGTTTTTGTCTTTTGTTGTTTATATTTTTTTTGCTTGTAATTAAATAGTTATACTACTTTTTATTATACACTTAATTACAGATAGTACATTAGATGTTTAAGTGATTATAGAGAATACATTTAATCTAACTCTGTTGTATTGGAAAGAAACAGACTCATATTGCATAGAATGCTCTAAAGGCTGCTCTGGTAATAAATTGATCTCTCTTACATATGAATAATGTGACCATCCCTAGAACTGGCAGCTCTGTATGATCTCTGTTCTTTCATGGAAATAAATAAAATTACATAGCAGAGAAATATTTGGTGGAGGCAATGAAATATTCTGCCTTGAACTTACTTATTCCTTCTAGTCTGTAGTGGAGGTTGTACTTGTGCTGTATAGCTAGTTAATAAGTTTTTACATCATGTGAAGTAAGATTAATCTTTGTGAGGATACAGCAGTATGATCCTGACTCTTGCTGTTTATGCATTTGATTACTCCTGCTAAATTCCAGGATACTTCACATATGTAATAGATCACTCACCTACTTAAAGATTTGTAGAGCTGTATATATCTTTTAAGCTACTGCAAGCCTGCGTAAGATGTAGAATGTTCCTCTTATTTTGATTTTTTTTTTTCTTTTTTTATTTAGTGTACTTCAATGCACAGAGAATATCAGCCCAGGAGACTCTTCAAGAAGTTTTCAGTGCTCTGTTTGCAATACTTCCTTCAGCTCAGAATCGAGGTTTTGTGTCTGAGTTACTGGACTGCTGTCATATCATTGCTGGCCTCCCTTTGCATGTTAGCTTTCAAGCTTATTAGTTTAAGTGAATCCTAACAGTGAAAGAAGTCAAATGCTTTCATTCCTATTTGCTGTAAGTAATGCATGAGGTGGCCTTGGAACTCTGCAGTGCAGCATGCGTTAAGCTCAGAGTACTTGCTATGTGTCTGGTTTCTGTAGCTACTGCTTTATGTGTTGTGCTTTTTTTTTTTTTTTTTTTTACTGGTTATTCCATATAGTTATGAACAGCACAAGGAAGCATGCAGAGGGGATGCCAGATTCATATGCAAGGCAGATAGCTGTGGGAAGAGGTTCAAGAGTAAGGATGCCCTGAAAAAACATAAAGAAAATGTTCACAGTGGTAAGAGAGAGTTTAATGTTTCTTTGGATATAAGCCCTCTAGCATGTTACAGCCTTAAATTTGCAAATCAAGGTAAACTTGTCTTTGGTGTCTTTTTTAATGGCTTCTTTTTTAATGGCTTCATTTGTATCAAAAAGAAAATTAAGAAGTAACTAATTGCAAGAGTAACTATTCCTCCTTCCTCAGGGAGAAATTACTGTATACCAGATGAATCAGTCTCCTTTAGAAAATGTAATAGGAATTGGGGGAAGTTTAAACTGGGCAAATAATAGATAAAGCAAAACATTTCAGTAGTGTGGAAAATCAACCACTGGCACAAACTGCTACAGGAAGTAGTGAGTTCTTGATCTTTTGGTATTTTCAGGACACAATGGGATGTCTTTCTGGAAGACATGCTTCACAAACGATTAGGCTTGATGAGCGTATTGCATAAACTTCTATAACCTCTGTTGTGCAGGAAGCCAGAACAGACAATCCACTGGTCCCGTTAGGCCCTAGTGTTTTTATATCTGTGCACTGTGAATCAATAGTTTTCAATCAAACTTCGCTCTGTTTTCATGAAAGGGCAAAACACTGCTCTCAGGTCCACAATGCAGATCTCGGTTCTGGCATTCTGCTCTCTCTGCATGTCCCCTCTCCATGTCAATGGAAGATCAGTATGTGTGGGGACAGCAGAATACCAGAGTGCAAAGAAAACAGTCTTTAGTTGATGGTGACAGCACTGAGATGCTTTGTGAGATTTTCATTACATGAAATCTTTCTTCTGCCAAACTCTTACAGCATATAGAAACCCTTCCACTACCGTTCTTATAAAACTGTTCTTATCTCTTTTTTTCAGTATTGGTAAGTTTTGGTTTTGGTTTGTTTTTTTTTTTTTTTTCTTATTTTTTTTTCATACATGAGCATTATTATGTTTAGGTTTAGCTTTGGTCAGTTATGTAGCAGTACACAAATTCCACAAATCTCTTGAATGATCACTCCAGACATGACTGAGAGCAGATGCCTGGAGGCTGTTTTAGCTCTGCCTGCGCAATTAGTGGAGCTTTTATTTTACCACTTGGGAGTCATAGAAATCAAAACTGGTGTCAGTGCAGGAAGGAAAATAACCCACTACTGCTGAGGAACACTTCTAGAATTCCTTCCTGCCTTGTGTTACCTGGAGGCAAGGGAAAGTAGAAAGGATTGTTACATGTGTTGCCCGTTATGCAAAGCTGTGAACAGATATTCACTATCACCTTTCTCTCCTCTGAAAAGGTCTCATTAATGTTCTCGTAAGTTGAAGTACTAAGTGTATTCTTCTGTATTTATGTGTATATTAGTAAATGTAACTATTTGTAAGTTTTATAACAGCAAGTGCATATGTGAGATTAAGTACTTTTTTACACTACAAATTTAAGTATTGAACCAATCAATTGACAGTGTACATTGTACTAAGAAGGATCAACATAATATGAATTCTTTAGGACAGCAAGAGCAGGAAAAATTTAGGATGCTGAGATTCTGAAGAATTAAGCTGGAAGCCATCTAATAAGCTAGTTCATGAACCATAGTTCCTCTGTGCTTGACTAAGCAGTACTCACCTTGTTCATTCTGTGTTCTTTTTAGTATTCAATGTAATATGAACATAAGGAAATATCTTGCATGAGCATGTAGTTATAAACAAAGAATTAGGTTTGTGGTGGCTTTGCCTTGTAATAAAATAGCTTTGTGGGTTACTAAAATGAATTTCAAAAGGTAAATAATAGATAAACTCAATTAAATGCTCTGTCACTTTTTAAAGCAACTGTGAAAAGGGAAGGAAAATACATCTGTTAGCTGACCTGTAGCTTGTTTTGAAATTTACATTTTAGATGAGATTTCAATTCATGATCTGGCACTAATACAAATTCCCTGTCTTGTTCAGTTAAAGACCATTAATAATACATTATTTTATATAGTAGAATGCTTAATGCTTTCTTAATAAAGAAAAATGGGAAATGGTGGGTTTGACTTCAGTTTGGGATCTTTTTTGTTATTGCTGCACTAACAGCAGTTATGTTTCAGCAATGTTTCTGTTAAAGCTCTAGTATAAAGGTTTTGAAGATATTAATTGTATTGACTTCTGAAAGAAATCAACTGTTTGGTTATAAAATGAGTTGTTCTTAGTTGTGAGTTGTGCTCTTCATATTGGATTGGTGATGTGTGATAACATCTATTTGAAGTTTTTTTTCTTTATTGTTCTAGTTTTCTTGATTTACATTCCACCAGTAACTGGTTTGTTGGACACCCACAGAGAAATCCTGATATGGAACACTTTGAAGATGGGATACAAATGTAAAATCTTATGTCAGTCAAATGACCTGTGAAAGTCACAAACTCAGTGGAAATATTTCAGCTCTTTCTTAGCACTTCCTTTTTAAGATGTTGGTGGTATTTTGTTTCTGTTTCAGGAAATTCTAGGAAGAAGCTGATGTGTTCAGTGTGCAATAAGAAATGTTCCTCAGCAACAAATCTCCAAGAGCATCGAAAGGTCAGTAAGATGAAGGCTAACCCACAGCAGGCTTTGACTTCACTAAGATGTGAGACTGTGGTGCTTAGGTCACTTGAAAGCTGCTGTAATGCAAACCTTTAGGTAATCTCTTTCATGGTTACAAACCCAATGTATTTTACTGTGGGTATTTATTTTTGTAGTCACAATTGGTTAAACCAAAAATCTTCCTAAAATTTTAATGTGTATTTACCAAATACAAAAACGTTTGTGCTTGTATCACTTATGCATTCTAACTTTAAGTCAATGTTGCCTGCTGTTTTTCAGCATTCTTAAACACTAAAGCTAAATGTAAAACTATGTTATGTAATGATATGATACATACAGACCATAAAATAGCCTCATGAGCCTTCACATTTTGTGCAAAATACAATCAATCTTTCTTACTACTTTGTGACATACCAGTAAAGGTGTTATATGTAATTTCGTTATGCAGTAGTAAAAAAATTTCTTCCTCAATGACAAAATTTTAATGCCTTCTTGTTTATGCACGTAATCTTTTATAACCAGAACAGGAGGGGTTAACGGTTTGAAAAGCATCTATTGGAAATAAAGGGGTTTATATAGAAATACAGATGGACTAAGAATATGAGATTCTGAATCCATTATACCCAAAGGAAGTCCCAGCAAGATTAAATTGATAAATCACTAAAACCCGAGAGATTCTGTTTTTACAAAAAGCTACATTGTACTGTTTATCAGATTAACTGTAAGTCTTTAATAATACCCTGGTTATAACCTGAATCCATTGAGGATATAGATGATATCAATTAAAATACGTTGCTGCAAAGAAAATGGTGGGGCCCCTCCTTTTTAATTTGTTTTTCTCCTTGTGTATATTAATATGCCCATCATTTCTTGTCTAACAGGGCTGTACTTTGTTACTCTTCAGACCAAATCGCGGTATGCCTTGCCGCATGTAATTACAATTTTTACACACCTTATGGTGGCCCTGAAAATCCAAAATACAATGGCTAGTGTGTCCATTTTATTAAAACGTTTCTTTTGTTTCAGTAGTTGTAATTCTTTGCAGACTCTATGACACGCACTAACAAGCTTTTCAAGTAGCATTGATGGTAGGTCAGTTGAGCACTTGTTCATCTTAAGAATCACCATTTGTGCATAAAACTTTATTTCCTCTTCTTGATTGGCTCCTCTTTTAAGACATCCAGAAAATTGATATTCCACATTCACAAGCCTACATCAGATAATGAAGAAGATTGTGCATAGAGCTCATACCTTCTGTTTCTTTGAATTACTTTGCTTTTGTAGGAATTGGGGCAGGATCCATCACCAGCATCACCAAAAATATTTAGACAGGCAATAAAATCAGTAAGAAAATAATAGGTGAAACAGGGAGGAAAAGAGGTTTTTTTTCCACCCATTTCCTGTCAATGTAAAGAATGAAAAGTTATGAATAGAAAGGTAAAGTATAGGAGATAATAGAAAATAAGCACAAATAACAGAAGGAGAGAAATCTGACAAATGTAGAGAAAGAAGGTAAAGAGAGTGGCTGTAGGGGAGATTGAGATCTGTTTACTCTCTGAAGACATGGTCATTCAGATCTGTAACTTTCATGTCATCTTTGATTTAACCCCATTTTTTGCTATGTGTGTCTTGCGGCTTGCTTGTGCAAAAGATAAGCCCTTTCTTAGCCATGCACAATTAAACTTTGCTGTCATCATCTTCTGTGCCTTAGTCTTACCTTCTTGTTTTCCAGACTGTTGCTTGTATCATGCTAATTTTTGGTGGCACCACTTTGAGGTTTTCTAGCCCATTCTCTTTTGCAGAGGGGAGTAAGCATGTAGCTAAATCATCCTAGATATGTGCCATCTCATCTCCTGAAAAGTTCCATTAAAGAAAATTCTACCACTTCCATAGATGTCTCTTTGTATTCTCACTTCCAGCTTTAGTGCCATCAGCTTTTTTGAATGTGTTCATTAGTCCAGCGTTTTTTTTTTTTTCTGATGTCCTACTTAAATCTTCTTTACTGCAAATGGAATTAATTGCTCTTTGTCTTATCTGACAGAATGCCAAGAAAAATTCACCATTGTCATCTTTTTTACAATTAGCATATTGCAAAGTTATGAACTCTATTTGCAATTCCTAGACTGTACAAACACAATTATCTCAACCTTTCTTCATGCATCTGTTTTTCCAAAGTACTTGTTCTTTTAGTAAGCTTTTTATTCCTGTGGATTCTCTCTTTTTCACGTATGTGCTTCTTGAAGTCAGCTGCCCAAACAAGAAGAGCCGTGATGCTTAGTTGAGCCGCTGGTAGTGCCAAGTATAGTGGAATGAATGTCCTGAGTTTATTAATACAAAGAATATGTCTAATAATACATCTCAGAATGACAGTGCTTTCTAACAGCAGCATCAATCTTGTTATTCATATTTTGTTTGGAATTCATTGATTTTTTTTTTTGTAGCGGTGCTATGTAAACTGTTAGTAATCGTTTAACACTTGTGCAATTGATTTCTCCTTCCTAAATATTGAGTGTTTTGGAGCTTCATTGAGTGTGAATATCATTTTGAATTCTGATTTTGTCTTCCTTAGTGATTACAGTCCTACCCAGAATACTCTCATCTGCATTGTTTATTTTATATTTGATTTCCAAAACTACTTACCATAATACAACCCTCCTCCTGCATGATGCCTGCAAAACTTTAACAATTTTGATGCTGATCCACTGATATTATTGCTTTTTGTGGTGATTGGTATCTTTCTTTTTTTCCATTCTGTCTATATCCACCTGTTCTCTTTTGTCTTATTCTCCAATTGTAAAGTGACATCCTTCTATCTGATATTTATAGTAGTTCATGATTTGGGCTGCTAAGTGGTATGGTAGTATAAAAAAAAAATAAATTCCCAGCAAACACAACTCGGAGAGTGCTGTACAGGAGTTTACAGAATACTGGGTAATAGAATGAAAAGGTTTGTGTAAAATCTCATTTCTGCAGATTTGTGATGTCTACTGCCAGAGCAAATGAAACACCATCTGAATTATATTCTGATACTGAGTTCTGAAGTTTAAGTAAAATGCAAAATTCAATCATTTGATGATGATAACAGTGAGCAAGCGAGTGAGGGGAGTGTTATCTTCATTGATGCAGATTCTTGCTAAAGGGTTCCTTTTGTACCTTTCAAAATAGGTGCCTCATGTTTTGGATTTGAATTGCTAACGGGAACTTAATTGAGCAAGTACATGTGAATAGCACAGGCTGCCAGGCCTCTCCACCAAGGCTCTACAGTTCTGTAGGTGGAAATGGAAGAAAAATTCCATCACATACCAGTGTTGCTAGTTTCTTTTCCCAGGCTGATGCAGTCAGAATTGATAGTGCTACACTTTCAGTACTTGTAGGTAGATTGCGGGGATATGCCTCTGGACTGTACAGCTGTGGAGTCAGTTTCTGACTTTTGTTGCAGGCAGGTGTTTTCAATGGTAAAGTACCTAATTCTCCTGTTAAGAAAGATTAAGAACATCTTTGAGTGTAAGGCAGTAAAGCTTTTGACTTTGCAAAAAGTTATAAAACAAATGCCTGTATGAAATGTAGGATTGTGCTTCACCAGTAAGACTAGTTTGTGCTGTTGCCCTTCTGTATTTCTTAGCATATTTCTTACATGAATCTGTAAGATTCTATTAAGAGGCATGCTGTAGCACAGTCTGCTGAAGAGATGACAGAACCAAGAAGCAACCTACCCATCATTTGTTCTAGAGACTGAGTGTGTTTTACTGTTTGTGAAAAATCCCTGATTACCCCTTAACTTTCTTTGTTGTACAGCTGGACTTCCTGCAGTTATGGTGAGGAGAGTCACTCTTAAACTTCATATGTTATTCCCTCCCTCTCCGCCCCCCTTTTTTCACCTGCCAGTTCCCAGTGTCCCTGCCCTTTTTGTTTGACATCGGACAGTGTTTTGTTCTACTGTGCAGTCTTTATTTTTTGTGATCACTATGAAAGCCACAGAAAGACAGGAAACCAAATTTTGATCTCCGCTTTAAAATTCATAATAACATTTAATAATTTCAACTGGATACAATATTTTCATATCCTTGCTCTCTCAAAGCACTGCCTTCCCACAGACAAGAGTCTTATCCAGTACTTGGAGTGGTAGATTGAAATTCAAATTAGTTTTTGGAAAAGTTTTAGCTCAGTTTCACCCCAAACACTCTTTTGAATGACCTTTTGCTTTTCAATAGACCCAATGAAAATTTTGTCAGTCCTGTAAGTGTATTTATCTGAGCATATATTAATCTTGTTCAGATGCTTGCTGTTTTGTACAGCACTTAGCACTTAGTTGTTATCTGAAGGTGTAGCTCTTCAAATGCCTACAACACAATTTTAAGTATGGTCTGACTTTAATGTAAGAGGGCTGTGTTGATAGCTAGTACAGCCCCCTGATGAGACTAATTTTATTATACAAATAAATCATAGCATGAGCACTTGCCTGTGGTATTACAGCCTGTGTACTCATAGAGCATGTTGCTTGATGAGTTTTCTTAAAATGAAAATCCATTTGAATATCATTATTCATAAAAATATTTGCTATATTTTATTACTGTTGTTTTACCATGTAATTGTATGCCTTTTTAGAGAACTGATTAGAGTGCCAGCTATAGAATATATGCTTGATAGCTACAGCTATTGAATGCACGTGCACACAAGCCTGTCTGATTCTTTTCTAAAGAATTGATTAAAGAGTACCAGCTATAGAATACGTATTTGATAGCTGTAACTTTTTAATGCACATGCCTGCAAGTGTCTGTTTTAATGCAAATGTATTCAATGAGACTATTTATTAAACAATGCTCATAAGTTGAAATCAGACATTGTATAGTGTTAAAGCACAATCTGGGTTCTGATATATTAACTATTATGTTTAAGAATACCTTACAAGTTATTTCAAATAATCGTGTCGGGGCGGGGGGGAGATTCTGATAGCACTTGGTTGCAGAATTATGTAAATTTTAGTCAACAGTCTAAGTAAAAATGTAGATATTTTGGGAAAGGGTAGAGTAGTAGGTTGTGTGCATATAAGAGAAATTGATCTGAAATGGAGCTGGGTGAACCAGAATATTTAGAACAAACAATCTTTATTTGAGCTTACCTGCTGATTCTGTCTGGGCATTTCATTAAGCATCACTGTCCAAAGTGTGCAAGTTTGCAGAGATTGCAGGAAATAGCATAACCAATTTTAATTTATTAAAACATCTCATTTGCTCTAAAGTTAGTTTGTAAGTAGCAGCATAAAAACATTACAAGGCAGAATAGTTATGGAGAATCTCTTTTTTTTGTTTGTTTGTTTGTTTGTTTTAAGTGGAAGTCTTAGTTGAGCTTTTTTACTGTGCTGTCCACAAATGTTTTTCATTATAGTATTGTGTTGAACATTTAATATTTGTTATTTTTAGCTGCTAGGTTCTCCTACAGAAAAGCTATAGAGTTCTCCAAAAAAAGCTTTATGAAATGTGATCTCTGCCTGGAAGTTTTGCTGTCTAAGGCTGCAGTTTCAAAGAGCCGAAACGCATGTTAAGTTGCACTGTGACTAGGTTGATGGGAGGCTGCTGATGGCAAATGTAATATAGAGCAGAAGGTGAATGGTAATCATGACAGGTGGAGAACTACGTATGTGTTGTGATTTTGGAGAATAATAAATAACACAGGATTATTTTTTTTTTTTAATAAGTATCAGAAGTTGCAGCTCTCAACTGTCTCTTACTTTTTCATCATTTAGTCCTTGACGATGTTATGTTCTGTGATATTGAAAAGCCTGCTGATGTTTACTGCATTTACACTCTTAAGAGACACTGGTTCCCATCCACTGTTTTGCCTCTGAAAGCTTTTAAGAGAAACAGTCCTGAAAGAGTTTGATAGTACTTGTTTTTTAAAATTCTTACAGTAGTTATGAAGTAGTAACTGTGCCATTTTTACTTATGTCTTATTGACTAGAAAGAAATGTTCTGAAAAGATATTCTGCATCTCTTTTTAATGCTTTTGTAATAGTGATATTTTAAATGGCTCTGATATTGTAAATTTGAATAACCTGTGTTTCTAAATGTAGTTTTAGTGATAATTTTTTGTTTGCGGTGATGAATATTTTTTGAGAGGTACTGTTCACCAAGGGACTAGCAAGGGGGAAATCACAGAATATTAATGAGTATTAGTATAGCTACTGGCTAAGAAATAGTTATGGTCTGTTAGAGAATTTTTGTATATGTAAGATGTGTGATCTTGTTTGAGATGCGTATTTAATTATCATTAAACACTCATTTTGCAGGTCCATGAGATCTTTGAGTGTCAGGAATGTGACAAGAAATTTATTTCAGCTAACCAGCTAAAACGCCATATGATAACTCATTCAGGTAACGTACAAAAATAACGCAGAGCTGTATGTGTGTATATCTATTTAACATATATTCAATTCTACCTGAATTAGTTTTTTATAGAAGACCTGATGAATTCTGTGTTGTCCTGGTTCAAGCAAATCTCAGCTTCCACGGAAACCACCTAAGCTACCCTTTCTAAGCCTTTCAAAAATCCAAGCGTAGTGCTATAGTCACCTTCCTACTGCTGCTTTGTCAACTATTTTTTCATGCTAGCTGGAGTAGATTATGTCAGTTACCTGGGACGGGCCAAAAGATTGCTAGTTGGCTTATAGAGGAGGTGAAGAACCGGTGATTGAAAGTTCTGTCGAAGAGGATGGGAGCTGGGGAATCCTGTCAGACAGAGATCTGTGATAAAAAGGGAAACAGTCATTCATATATGTATATTTATATATCTGTTAGTGGACTCGTGCACGTAGTTTCCAGTCAGAGGAAGCAGCTCGTACTCCACACTGTTTCATAGACCACACACAAATGTTTCGTTGTACCTGTCCTTTGCCAGAACAGGTCACTGTGAGTGGGGAGTGGCCTGTCTGTAGGTTTGACAGTGTGACACAAATTGGCTCTGCCAGGATTTCTGATCACTGCAGTCTAATGTCTATGTATTTCACCAGTGATTAGAAACACCAACCAACACAATGGAAACACAAACATCGTTCTGTCAAATACATTAGCATTTAAAAATGTCATTTTTTTCAGCAGCACAGGCTTATAATTGTACTGTTTTATTGGTATCAGTCCGCATCAAAAGCTGATTTCTTACAACATAATCTATATCTCAGAGGCTCCTAGCTTTCTTTTGACACTTTTGGATGAGCGTTAATGTAGTTAAGTTGCAGTCACCAGTTGAAGCATAAAGGCTTTTTGCATAGGAACTTTTGATTTTGGAAGCTAATATGTATATTGTTAATTAAGTTTTAAAACATTTAAACTGTCATGCCCTCTTTCACATTTGTAATCTGGAAACAGGGTTTTCCTCTTTGAAGTCATTCTCTTTTGATTTAAGCTAATTAATCAGAATTTAGTTTTAGCAATGATTCTTGCAAAGAATGTGCCAATTTCTTGAGATACACCATGGCTCATCTTTTGTGAAGTGACTTAACTGTCTAACATAAAGGGCATTAGATGTCTTTCTAATTGGTTTAATCTTAATTGGGTTGACTTAATTGCAAAAATCTCTCTGAGGAGATGACTGTCTCTGCCTTTCATCTTCTCCCCCTGTATAAACAGGAGATTAAATGTCCCCCACTCATTTTCTGCAGAAAAACGCCCCTACACCTGCGAGGTTTGCAATAAGTCCTTCAAACGACTTGATCAAGTGACTGCACACAAAATAATACACAGTGAAGATAAACCTTATAAATGCAAGCTTTGTGGAAAGGGATTTGCCCACAGAAATGTTTACAAGAATCACAAGAAGGTAAAGCACTCTGCTGTTGTTGTTTACAGGTCTGCCAGCCTCAGATTTGCAGATTTTTTTTCTTTTAAGTGGTTCTTCATTAAGCTCTGGCATGCTTATAAACATGGGATTAAAGTATTGGAGAATGTATTTTTTTAGTGTTCTTTGTTATATTAAAAATCTCAAAATACTAAATGAATTCTAGTTAAAAAAAAAAGTGAAATAAGTAGAAGGAAATCAGTTACTTGGTTAAAAGCATCAAACAAATCCCTATTTTGACTTTTCTGGGTATTTTTTTTGGTTGTTTGTTTGCCTTTTTTTTTTTTAATACCAGGTTACCAAGTTAAAAATGTAACTGGTCTAAAATGTCTCTGATTTTTTTGTTTTTAAAAAAATACCGTATTTGAATAAAACTAAGTATAGTCCCGTTGCAGTCATTGTTGGACTTAGCAGCAGATGCTTTCAAACTATACTGAATTTGCACTGGGTAGAGTTCACACATTAAAACAACATCAGAAGAAGCGTTACCTGAAAAACAGGCTCATGAAGAGATGCTCCACTTCTGTTGATTTAAGCTCAAATCTGCTTGACCTAATTTCTATAATGCTGGTCATTATTTTTAACCTGGGGTTACATTTTTAATGGAAGGCTATATCCATGACTGCTCTTTCAGAATTATGAGACTGTAAAAAACAAAGAAAGAAAAAAAATAATTACCTGTCTGGTTTTGTGCCCAGTATTTGGAACCCTTTTCTTTTTTCTTTTTTTTTTTTTTTCCTTTGCATTTTTTAAATACTCCCCCTCTCTTCCCCCTTTTTTGATGAAACTGATATGCCCATACTTACAAGTCTTTTGCAGTTTGGCTCATGTTATATGCCATCTGGGAATTTGGCACAGGATCTTTGCACCATCTCTTGCACTTTGAGCCATAAATCACATAAGAGTAATAGTAATGCCTCTCACAGGATGAAATGGTGATGACTGTCTAAAACAGCAAGCATGCAGAAGCCTGCTGAAGGACAAGATTAGCTCCTGTATATGCTGTGGCTGTATCTGATGTTTTAGACTTTATTAAGAAAATGGGGCAGAACCTCACAAATTGGATATATTCTAAAGAAAATGTATAAAATACTATCTATATCTTAAATGAATACTTTTAGCATATTTCCTTATGTTAATTTGCAGCTGATGATTGGTAGGGAGTTTGGGCTGAAAATGGAATTCAGGATTAAGTGTGAATGAGTAAACACTGACCCAATTCTGTGTTTGAAGCAGCAGCACCATGAACATAAGCAAGGATTAGAGGCTCCACTTAATTGGAAGAATATTAAAATTTAGACAGATTTAGCGAGTACCTAATTTTGACAGAATTCCTTGAAGCATGTTGGAATACTTATTTCCTGAACCTGTTTGCACATCATACTGGCTGTAAATCAACCCTGTCTTATAATGAAAGAAACTTATTCCTGTGTTTACATAAAGTTTACCCGAACAGCTGTGAGTATGCAGCCATCCACATTTAGGTCTCTAATTTCACTTGCTAACTGAAGAGATGAGCATGAGAGACAGGAGACTGACATAGATGTCCTGAATTGCTGTTTTAGACACGCCTCTCTCCATTGATTAAACGATGTAAACAAGGAGAGGTAGTAGATAAGAGGAGAGTATGGATGCGTATACACAAAACCAATTGTAAGGTGTAAGTCATGGATGTGGTAGTTTGGGATGCGAAAATAGTTTTAAGTGCCATGAGTTTGGGAGGGTGACACCACTACTACGTGAAGAGGACAATAGTTCTTTTGCTTGTTCACAGGAATGTTAATCCAGTAACAGTGGAAATTTAAGCCTTTATTGTGTATCATACTTCTGTGTATTTCTTCAGCTCAGGTTTTTAACGCTTCTTTAGGTGTGTATTCCTTTAAGATGTCCTCCTAGGTTTCATTTTCTTTTGGAGGAAGAAGAGTTTGCCTCTGAGTAATTTCACAGTGCTTTCTTGAGTTCCAGGATGCAGTTACTGTGCTAGTAGCAGGGAGCTTAGAAACCTGCAGTAGGAGTAATGGATATATTAGTTAATAACACTTAAATCAACAGCATTTAACAGAAAACAGGTTTTCAAGTTTGATAGCAACACGCTTGAAAACACTCTTTGGGTTTTATAGCAGAGCTGCGTACTTTTTATTTATAATGAGTATATATACATATACATTTTGTGCCTTTAAATTCTTATTTTGTGTTTTAGATGGAAAATTGTTGCTTTTTCTGTGATTCCTTTATGGGGGTTATTTAATCTGATTTTGTGTTGGGAGTATAAGAATAAAAATGGCTCCTACAACATGTGCTCTTAATCATTTTTCAGATGTGGGTGAATGTTGGGTCATTTCAAAGTTGCAGAAGGAGATTAGTTCCTCCCATTTCACAGGATTTCACTGGGAGATAGGCAGTGGAGTTGCTAAGAGTGTATCTGCTCCGTTCGGTGGAGCATTGTGATTTGAACGCTAACTTAGCACTCATTATGCCCTTACAGTTACAGATCTGAGAGGCTGGAACTGTTAAGTCTTCCTGTGGTACCTCTAATGTACTGCACTGCTCTGTGGAGGTGCATGTGCAAGCTTGCTTTGTCACTTGCTTGGAGAGATGTCAGCACTGAGAAGTGTTTTGTGACGCGGAACTAGCTCAGATGTCTTTTGAAAAAACTCTATATGACTAAGTGACCATATGAAGAATACGGTTCCATTTTTGTGATGAGGGAAGAGAATGGTATCTGAAATTAAGAGGCAAACATAGCATTGGGTTGTGCTACAGATAAAAGTAGTCACCTTTCATCCAGGTTAGATTGGATGAAGGTGCACGTTCTATGCCATAGAATGCACAGAATACTTCCATACAGGAGAAAGTGAAGTTTTTGTTCCATCTGCTCCTTTGTTGCTATGTATAAAGAGAATAAAATATGAGGCTATGACAATGAGCAGAAATAGGTCAGCAGACACAGGATTTTAAAGGGTTTATGGTTAATCCAGGGTTATTTGGTCCTGGGGAGCATAATGAATTGAAGCAACTGTATTCCCTCAGTTTCTCTATTGGGAATAAATAGCCTTGAGCTGGGTTTAAGCCTCCACAAACGCTGTGGTAGGAAAGGCTGCCATGAAATATTCCATAAGAGCCCATCCTCAGTTGCTTTGACCGTATGGCTGTCCCCTGCTCTGACTGAATGGAAGCCATCTCTGATCTAGAACCTATTAGTCCACAAAAGGACAGTAATAGAACTAATATGCTTGTTTGAGAGGACACTTCTCATTAAGATTTGCATGGCTTTTTGTGATAGACCTAGCTTGTTTCTGGACCTTCACAAAAGAGGCAGGTGATGCGTGTATCCTTGCATGTGGGTATGCCTAGTTAGGTGTTTTTCTTTGTAGCGAAGTTAAGATGTGCAGATGAATACTTGTATTTTGATCAGAAGACTAGGAGAACTGTCAAGGAGATGCTAAGAAGGAATTCTGTGCAAATCACTGTGCTCTTCAGAACTACCACTCAAGTGGTGAGCGTTCTAAAACAGGGCATTTTTTTAAATAAACATCGTGACTTTTGCGCTCGTGAAAGGTGCCAGATTGACAGCCCTAGAGACTGAACCCTTCTATTTATCCACAGAACAGGTACAGCACAGACAGCAGCACTGCGAGCTTCCCCACAGTGTCTCGTCAATATGTCTCAACCCTGTTCTGGAGGAACCACCTGTTGAGGTGAGAAGGTAGTTCAGTCTCTTCATGTCCTGTCAATCCTTGGCCTGACTGCTGAGACTGCCAAGCAGGGTGTCAACTAATGCAAACACTGATGCAGAAGCTGAACTGAAACATTCAGCGGATTTTATGTAACATGTGATGTATTCCACACATTTACTGGTGCTCCAGTTGCCTTTTTGCTTGAAGTGACATAGCCAAGGAATTGACTTTGAATCCAAAGCCTCTGTATACCATTGCAAGTACTATAATGTTTTGGTTCTGTTGTCTATGTAAGAGGACGTTTGTGTTAAAATCAGCCTAGGTTCAAGGCACTCAGTCTACATCTAAATGATTATGCTGATTCCCTGCAGTCCCTTTCTTCTCCACAGTTGAAGGGATAGCTGTAAGTGTTGTACCATGTTATGAATAGCCGAAATAGATTATATAAATATGTACTGTGCTAATATTTACCCTTAGTCTACAAAATTAACTAGTTTACCTAATTTTGTGCGTATTATAAAACACTGTCTGTCTGCTTTTCCTCTTGGCGCTGCAGCTTCTCCTTAAGGTCTTTGTGAGCTAATACAGTGTTCAGACGCTGTTGCTTTAAAAACTTGCTTTCCTTTGCAAAAATAGTAGGAAACTGGGTAGCTAATAAATTGGACGGATTAATTTACTATCTACATTGAGAGAGCACTTAATAATGCTAGGAAACAGGCAAAGTGCTTTGAAACTTATGGAAGTAGAATGAAGCTGGATGTTTCTAAAGCTCCAGAAAAGAAATCTGCTTCAGCAACTCTACTTTGAGAGACTTATCCAAGCTTAGCCTTTCATTTTATTTATGGCTTTGAGGCTGTTTCTCAGCTATGATGAATTTCTCTACATCAAACGAAAACCTTGGTACTGTCGCCCTGCCCTACCTTTTTCTTTCAATACAAGAAGCTGAAACAAGGATATGTAAGACTAGCCTTATGACTTGAGAAATTTTCTTTGCCAAACTTCAGATATTATCTTGAGATAATCAGACCAGTTTTACCTTCAAACTTAACTTAGAAAAAGGGTTTTGTGTACGTCTTTAATTTTAAAGCGTTTATTCATATTAGTAAGTACTTAAGGGCAGTGTTAGTACTGATGAAGCAATGCAACTGAGCTTGTAGTTTTTTTCCTGGTTATTCTTTATTTTTGTTTCTGTTTGCATGACACCTCATGTAACAATTCTGAGGACTGGGAAGGTACATTTATTTGGTAGTTGCTCTGCTGACATTCTGGATAATGGCAGAATGATTGTTTTAATTCTTCACCCCCTGATGTTTCCAATTGCTATGATATCCCCTCCTGAATCCAGTCTAGAAAATTAGCTATAATTACTGTAATGACAGCTAATTGATTTCTCAAGCCTTTCCTCTGACATGTTGTCTTTCATCTGCAGACCCATTCTGAAGAGAGACCATTCCAGTGTGAGGAATGCAAAGCTTTGTTCCGAACTCCATTCTCTCTACAAAGACATCTGTTAATCCATAACAGTAAGTGCTAAGTCAGAAAGGAAAAAGAACTTCCTCAGTTCTCACATTTGACTGAGAAAAACAGACATATGGTACCTTGCTCCAATATGCAACTTGCTATGTTAAATGAGTATTAAGACTCAACTCTAACCCCAGGGAGTTAAAAAATTCAGAGCCAAATTCAAACCTTGTCTTTAAATGCACTTAAATGCAAATCCAAATCCGCTGTAGAAAATCTAGCAGTGCTTTGAGATCTGATGACAGGAGATTTCTTTCTGCATTAAGTGTGATAATGTTACCTCCAGTTTAAGAAAGGAGAAACAGAAGCAGAGTTAACTTGGTGGCTTAGTCAGCTTTTGTTGGTAATCCAGTTTAGGGTTTGAAACTGAGATTCTCTCTCCTGTTCCTGTCCAGGCTAATGTTTCAAGCCTCTGATATAAAACTAGCAGCCCAGAGGAATGCTGTGGCCATTTTCCCTCATGAGTAACTTGCTCTTGGCATTGTGTACTGTTTTTAAACTGATTGTGTAAAGATTTATTTTTGGTGGAATTTTCTTCAATATTTACAGAGAATGTGTAATGTCAGCAATTTAGATTTTAGAACACATCCTTGGTCTAAAATCCTTGTAGCTTAGAAGACTTGCTTTGATTTGGGAAATATTTATGTGGGTATAATTAAAAAAAACACAAACCGTTCTTTTTTTTAATCCAGTATAACAGTGCTTCTGTTAGATGAATTATTAGACTGGTGTGTTTAGTTTGTTCTTTTACAATTATCTTTCAAAGCTTCTTCAATGTCACAAAGCATTGGCTTTTGTAAATCTTTTTCCAGTGTTAAAAATGATGGGAGGAAAAAGTTAAAAACCTGTGCAGTAATGTGTATTCTAATGAACTAAGCATTTGCAGGATATCCAAAAGCAGTAATTTACAGTATGCGAACTTGTAGGCGTTGGCAAAGGTGTGTCTAAAAATGTATAGTTTTACTTTTTTTTTTTTTTTTTAAGAGGATGAGACCTCAGGAAATTTGAGATCTTTGAGTTAGGCTCGTGATTTGTGGCAGGTTTAGCTGTTCCTGAACCATCACTATTTATGCAAATATTAAATATACCAGACTGAACTGTGGTGGCACAGATATGTCTAGTCAGTCTTCCTTGGTGCAAAAGGAGATGTGTCTTGCTGAGGGACAGAGTAGGTGTTTGAAGGTGGTAACTTCTGCCATCTTAGCTGAAAATGTCTCCAAAATGAATCAAAGCTTTAAACCAATTACGTTTGGTATTTTTATTAATCACAGGGAAGATTTTTAAACTATTTTTTCTTATTTTGGAAAAAAAACCCCAACAACTGACCAACTTAACAAGGAGTCCTTAATACAGCAGAATATAAGCAAAGCTTTTATAGCTGTACTGCATCTCTCGTCTGTAGTCCTATAAAAGAAGTGTTGACAGACCAATAGCAAAGTGAAAAGTGAAAGTCATTACTAGGATGAACTGAAGAATAAACAGTTTTCAGTTCAAGGCTGTGATTAAAACAAGAGGCTCTGCTGTTGTCTGAGAAGAGCTTGTGTTCACAGTGAAGAAATGTAGAACTCTTCCCCTCATGACCCAACTTGGAGACTGCCAAGTTGTGCTGCCATGATAATGAGTTTCTCATATTTGAAATAACTCAGAATTATAGGCACTGTCCTGCTAAAGCTGGGTGATAGTCCTTCTCATAGCACTGAAATATACCTCTTGCTGTAAAGAAAGGGGAGAAACAAAACAGAATCTGTAGATCTTTTTAGCTGACTGTACTGTTCTGTGCTATAGGAAAGGAAAAATTGTATCTGAAGCTTGAAACTTCTATGAAAAATTGAAATTCAGCCTATATCATATATTCTGTTAAATTCAGTATCCTCTTGTTGTTTTATAAGCAGGCACTCTGCAGAATGATTTAGAATGACTTAAAATTAATTTTACAAGCTTAATTTACTGGAAAAAATTGTATTTCATAAACTCACTCCTCAGGTATTCCTGTCTTAATTGGAAAAGGTGTCATTGATATAACTTCCAAGTTTCAAGATCAAATATGTCTAACTAACAAATAATTAAAAAAGAAAATCCAAACTTTTTTTTTTTCCTCATAGGTTCTAGCTGTGTAAATGTAACTTGTCTTCCGAGAGTCAGACCAGCTTTTTCTCTTAGATGTGCTGCTGATAATACTTTTATTATCTGTGTTCTCATTATGTCACTGGCAATGCTGGAACTAACACTTTATTCTAATAAGAATATTTAATATTCTAATAAGAATAAAGGGTTAACAAGAATAAAGTGTCTAACAAGAATGAGTAACCCTAAGCATTTTCGCTTGGATCACTGAGTTGTCTAGGATTGTGGAGACATACATTGAACAGGATTGCATTTGTTGAGAAGGACATCATCCTTTTTATGTATTTACTTTCCAGAGTAATAATCTACATGCAGAATGTTTGTTAGTAAGAGAAATACTAATTAGCTCATTCTACAGAGGTCAGCAGAAGTGGGCACTGAAGATTGCTCATTTCAAATAAAGCCCAAGTAGCCCTTACTTTCATTGTCTTGTTTTGTCTTAAGGAGAGTGCATCAGTGGAGTAGCTAAAGCCAGTCCCAGGAAAGACACACGCATGTTGTTGTGTATTTCTGGGGGAAAGCACTCTAAGATATAATATATCAGTACTGTGTTTCCATCTTTGGAGGCATTTACGGGTGTTGATAATGTAGTTTCATGTCAAGTAATCTGAAAAAGCTTCCCTCCTTCAGTCATTTCAAGAGCTGAAGTCAATGATATACTTTATTTCCATTCTCTAGACTGCCTAGGCCTGAAGACAATCTATTTATTGAAGACAATCTATCTTTTGCTATTTTATTTTCTAACAAACCTCTTGATCTAGCACAGTGCAAACTTGTTGACTGAAAATACATAATGGAAATTCTTTCCTTATTTCTTTATGCATTAATATTAGAAATTTATTTGGTAACTTTAATATTACTCTTATCTGCCAAAGGCAGTGGAAAGAGTTTGTTTTTTGGCAGTGATAGTTCTTAATCAACAGACGTGTTCTTATATTTACCGTACAAAATCAGTTTGCTCTTTATCACATCAACGAGGTATCATGAAATAGGTTGCATCGTTTTTTTTCCTGGAGTCTTCTACAAGAGGATTTCCAGAGCTGCTCAGGGAGTTTCAGTACTCACATCTTGTTGCAAGGGATTTAGACTTTTGCTTTATGCTGTTGAGGAGCCTTCTGAAACTCCTTCCATAGTTGTGTATTAATGGTATTTTTTAATTAAGTTTTCGTGTATCTTTGTCCGTGGCTTAAAAAAACCCCAATGAAAACATAGACTGTTCAGTGAGCCCACTGTGAGTGGATGCAGTGTTCTGATGGCTCTTCTGTAATGAGATATAGGGTTTCTGCTAAATAATGAAGCTGAGGAGAAATACTGGTTATTTGCTTTCATCCAGGGTAAAACTTGAAAAAAATACCCAATTCTAGGCTTTTGGTTACTTTGCATGTTGAAACAATTTGCTAAACTGAAGCCCGGACTTGGCTAAATACATACTTGGCAGTGCAACTGTATATAGTTGAAGAGTATTATAATGTATTCACACAGAGGAGATATGGTTGAACAGTATGTTAGTTCTGAAATTCCCTGACTTTGGAGGTTTTTTTTATTTGAAAACTGTTGATCTTTTACTACCTTTTTTTTGTTGTTGTTTTCTGAAAGTCATTTATCTTCTCAAATCATAATAGAAGTGCAGTACTGAAAATGATTGCAAACAAAACTTTGGGATAAAAAGGAGAGATCCTCCTGAAACTCAACAAATGTCGCTTTGTGTCTTAAACCATAGTGATACTATGTAAATTTATGGAAATCATGCAAACATTTCTTACTTCAGAAGACATGGCAATTTGTTCAAATTATGTCTGGTATTGCTTCATTTTTTTCTAATTTATTTTTAGAGTTGGAGCTAAGTTATTAAGAGAGGGGAAGAAACAAATGACTACCAAAAAAACCCCACAGCCCAATCATGAAGCCTAGAAGTTCTTACAAGAAGTAGCTTTTAAAAGAAATTACTAGAATATTTTTCCTTTATTGAAACAGAATAAAATCGTGTGTTACTTTAGTAAAAATAGTAATGACTTCACTTTGTTAGCAGTGTAGTCTCATGTTCTCGAGGACTGAAGTATTCACTGAACAGTTAAAAGCAGTATTAGTGTTAAACCTTCATATAACAGCATATTAAATTGCATCCCTGTTGACCTTGAAAATTTTCTGAATAGCTACTCTGAAAGTATTTTAGGGTAGGACAACTTACACTGTAGTACCTTTTAGCACATTCTTCTTGTGTCATCCAAGACAAAACTGCTTTTGTTTCCAAACCAACAGAGAATGAGAGGTTTGGGGTGGGGGGCAGTTATGGTTGATTTATAGAGGAGAGAAACGAGTTATCTAGACTTTGGAATGTCTGTGGGTACTTGAGGCACTGCTGTATTTATAAGCTTCCCTTGCATGTATTACATGTATAATCTATAATAAAGAAAAAAGTTTGTGCCTCAATATGTAGTATCAAATGGGCTTTAATATGCAGCATACTGAAATCAATTTCCATTCATATTGGCCTTTGCACTGCAACCAAGGCTGGGATGATTTTATCCTTTAACGAACTATAGCAAGGAAATAAGTGTATCTCTACATGTGCATCATCACTACTGGAAAAAGTAGCTCGTGCTTATACAAGTCTGTATCTTATTCATGTACTGCAGATTGGACCTCTGTCCTGAAAAATAAGAATTGGAGAATAGTCCGTAGATTGTGGTGATCTTTCTTTGTGATGTAACTGCTCGGAAAGTTTCTTGGGATATGGGTGCCTGATTTCCAGTTTAGACTGCGGATCTCTGAATGAATGCTATGTTGCAGATGTTTAACTTGTAATTTTAATCAAGAATTTAACGCATAGAAGAGAATATTCTCTTCTGCGTTCACAGTAGTGATAAAGAGAGGGTTCATTGTAATGATTTCTTGAAGAATCACGTGGGTTTTTTTTTTTCTCTCAATATGCAGATTTTCAGAATACAATGTCTCTTCCCCTCTGTTAGGTAATTCATTGAATTTTAAAACTATTAGCAATATTAACCTGGCCTCTGCCATAACTTTCAACCACATCACCACAGTTTGAATAGTAATAGTGCTGTAACACTTAAAGTTATTTCATCTTTGTCATATGAGTTTGCGTCTATTGACGTGAATGAGATAGGTTACTCAAAGCAAGCATTTCTTGTTTTAAGAATTCTTTTAAATTCAGGAAGATGTCTCTTAGCATTTAACTTTCAAAAGCCTGTTTAATCTTTTTGCTTGTTACCTTAAGAAGAGTCTGTTACTGGAGATGCTGATGAAACCTGTGCTCTGTTTCACTGGAAGCCATTTCCGCTGGTTACCATTTCACCTTTGGCTATAGGGTTTAATCTTGTATTTCTGGCTGTGTTGTTGTGATGACTACTTCCTATTTTCTTAATTTCCCAATGACATTTTTAACTGATGTGGTAGTTCTTTTCTTTCTGTTCTCAGGACTCCGCTTTTCATTTGTCTGTGTTGCTTTTATTAATTTTTCTGAAATGATAAGATTTAGTGTACTTCCACAAAAATCTGGTATCTGTAAACCTTGTTTTTTCTCTTTATAAGGTGAGAGGACCTTCAAGTGTGACCACTGTGATGCTACTTTCAAAAGAAAGGACACATTAAATGTTCATATTCAAGTTGTACACGATGGACATAAGAAATACAAGTGTGATCTCTGTGACAAAGCTTTTGTGACACCCTCAGTCCTGAAGAGTCACAAAAAAGTGAGTAGAACAGTTCTATCCTATTCATTCCTTCTTTCCCCTTAAGGTTGTGACTAAACATAAAATCCCCAGATGCTTCTGCATTTGTGGCTTTTCAGTAGAAAGCTGTGACGGTGCTTAGACTCTGCAGCGGGTGCACATGTATAAATTTGGTGTAGGTACTCCAGCACCAGTTGTGTAGCTGGATGGGACTTGCTGTGCTGCTTTTACCGTATTCCTTTCCACTGATCTCTGCAATGGTCTCGGAGTAAACTTTAGAAGAAAGTTTGCTCGCTAGTTTGGCCTGAGGTGAGATTTACGTTACAGGGAAGAAATGTGAAGGAAATAATTGAATCAAGAACAAATCCACTGAGGAAAATCAGCTCAGGGGTTGCCGCCAAATGCAGAATGGGACAGTTTGTTGTAAAACATCACTCATATTATATTTCCCATATAGTATGCACTTCATATATGCATGTAAAATTGTAATAACAAAACTGAGTGTAACTGAGTTACTCGGTGCAATATTTTCAGCACATGATTATAGTGAGTACTGTGCATTACATCACAAATCTGTATTTAAAATGGAGGGGAAAATGTAATGGAGTCATTCATTGTCTCTCCAACTCTGTAAGACTTCTCTGTCTTATGGGTCTTGGAACTAGCACGCATCTTTGGAGCCTAATTCAAGTTATTGGCAGATAGCAGACTATTGAATGCTCTAATGTAAGGGACGCAACTACCTCCTTAATGTGTGTTTTATTTTTTAACATGTTTACAGATTGCAAAAGTAATGGAACCAACGAGGAACAAAATCTCTTTTGTAGTCTTTTAAAGCTCTTGATCTTCCATTAAATGCATGTTAATGCATTTGCTGTCTGTCTTGATTCTGGTTTTAATGCTGCTTGTCTCATATTTAATATGCATTAAGTTACTTAGTAATTATAGTTGCTGGAAAATAAAGTTTCCTGTGATTGAGTGACATAACTATATAACCAAGGTGTATTTCTCTCAGATATGCTTGAGTGGAAGTTTTTCACCTGTATTTAAGAACAACTAGAATGAAATGGGGTTACCTTGTTTGTAGGCTTCAGTATGATGATTGAGATTCAAATAACCTAGTTCATCAGTTGTTCGGCCTGTGAAATCGGTTGATTTTTGCTGTAATAAGGAGAGAACTTTATATTATAGGATACTCTTTGTCTCTTCTCTTATATTACTTTTAGAATAAGGAGTATTAAAGCACATTTGTTTTTTAAGCCCGAATATATTGATGTAAGGAACTCAAAAATAAAGGGTATAGAAAATCAACTTTGGATTTGCTTCTGATTGTATTCTTGGAGAGCAAGACTTTAGGAATGCATAGTATATTTCATTAGACAAACTGATCTGTTTGGAAAAAACAGACTGCTTTTCAGACACACAATCCTTTCCATCCTTATGTACTCATTTTAATCATGTGAGTAACAGACCTAGCTTATAATACTGATACATGGATTTCAGATAACTTTTTTCTGAAGCATCTTTCCACGATGGATCATAAGATCCAAAAATCAAAAATATTACCTGGAATCATTGAGCTCTGCATAAATTTTTAAACTTCTGTTCCTCAGATACAGTATGACTTACTATTTCATGGTAAAAATGGCCATGTACATATATATTTGTATTTTAATGGGAAGCAGCTACTGTTTATCGTTTATCCCTATTCTTTTTTTGACATTCCTTCTTAATTGTAATTCCTATTGCTTTGTGCTGCTGTCAGACTAGGACTTGCTCTGTGTTTGTGATCCTTGTAGCTGTAACGTATTGTTCCTGGAAATCCTTTGTTTTTTTGGTTGCTTGGCATGAATTAATAGCTAGCAGTCTGGTATCCCTCAATGTTGCTGTTAGAGATATAAGTGATTTCTAAAGAACTCTATCCTAATCAAGAGGGATTTAACATTCATATTGCTAATGTCAGGGAATGAAAACTATGCAAGTCGGTCTAGTATTGGAATGATATGTAGTTTACTCTTCTTCAACTGCAGTATAATATGTACTACATGAGAAAAAGGTTTTATGATATAATGAATAATTTTATATCACTTCAATGAATTTCAAAAAATAAGAAATAACTTCACTATTTGAAGAGTTGTGTGCAAAGCTTGAAACCCAAATAGCCAGCTGTGCAAATAATTTAATGTTATTATTCCTATCCCATTTAAATTAAGTTAACACTTATAAATAAAGTAATCAATAATTATCCACTAGGAAAGCAGTTACTGTTACAAGGAAAAGTTATTCAATAGGCTGATAAATCTTCAGTTCAGAATTGAGCATTAAAAGTACAGAGTGAAAAATTATGAGAACCTGTGTATGTAACTTACTTCAAGGCGGACTGGCTATTGACTGCACAGGTCAGATGGGAGAGTTTGCTTTTTTTTTTTTTCCCCCGTTTTGAAATATTCTTCTTATATCAGCAAGGTGCTCTGGCCTTAAAAGCTTCATTTCAAAAGACAAGTTCAGCGTATGATTTACCGTTAGTGACAATTACAATATACTGCTCGTGATCAATTCTAAATGCAATCCGATTCTAGCATTTATTACAAGCAGTATAGGATCCAGTATGCAATTTGTGTTCACTGGAATCTCTGAGAACTTGCACTTTGAAGGCTTGCTGACTGTCATACTTCAGATGAACTGATGGCTGTTTCACTCATATGAGACAGTCAGTGAGAAATCATATGCACAAATCTCCATAGAAGCCTTTAAAGCTCCAGTACAAGTTTTCAACAGGGAAAGTTATACTAGGTTAGGTAAACTTTTTTCACTATACTTCATAATTTAATAAAAATTTTGTGAAATTTCAAGCTTTTAAAAATAGATCCATTTATGAAGATTAATTTTATTAGGTAACCAAATTATTGTTTGCGGGTTTAGAAACCACTGTCACAGATATCAAACTGAAGAACAGGTGTCTTATTCTTGCAATCATGAAAATACACAAAGGTGAATTGGGTATTTTTAAGTGACTATTTAGGAAACGGTAAACTTAGGAACTGAAAAGCTAGTTTATTTTGCCACTAATAATGAGATTTATTTATAAATGTTAAGAGAAAATTGAAGGCATGCCTATAGCTAACTCCTTAGAACATCTGCCTGATGTGACGTTATGAAATATATAATGGAGATAATGGTGGTCAATGTCAAATGTTAAAATACTCCAGTTAATATTTGTAAAATATTAATTCAGTAATATTTCACTTGTTTTAAAACTATGCTGAAGCTTTCATTCTTTTCCTTCCCACCCTATGTAGACTCACACAGGAGAAAAAGAGAAGATTTGCCCATATTGTGGACAGAAGTTTGCAAGCAATGGAACACTGAGAGTTCATATTCGAAGTCATACAGGTACAGTGTTTACTGTAATCAACAAAAGAGAATTTCTAAACATATGGGAAGGCATCTGTAAGTATGTCCACAATTTGCCTTTCTAAGAACAGTAATGCAAGTTTACACAGGTAGGCCTAACAACATGTTTTTCAGACATTTTACCTGGTTAATGTGTAAAACCAGATTCTATTCTCAACTGTAATTATGCATGGATGTATATGTATAACTATTTATATGTATATATAATATGAGCTCATTCATCTCTGTCACTTCTAAGGTGTTTTGAAACTCTGATTTCATATTAATGTGAACTCTGACCTTATCACAACCTGCACATTGGCCAAATTAGCCTTAAGCATGCTTTAACTCAAAATTTGTTTTCTGTTGCAACATCTGACTCATTGCGTTGATCTCCTAATATTCCTGGGTCTGAGTTATGTGACTTTTTTTTCTTTTGCCACCCAGATTGCATTACCGCTTCTCTATTGTGTTGTATGTGTTGTCATCTTGATAGGTTTCATTTTATGAGCTTATGTTTTCATTTCAAATAAGTGGCAGGCAACTGAAGGGGGTTTCTTTGTGATGATTTGTTTCCAACATAAAATGGTATAGATTTGTCTTTGGCAGTCAAAGCATCAGTTAACAAATAGCCTTCCTGTGACATTCAATTTACTTCGCATAAGCAAATTCGGTTTGCAGTGAGATGGCAGAATCGGTGTTTTTAATCATTTGGCTTTCTGCTATGTTTTGAAAAGTCTTAATCACTTCAGTCAATCAAGACCACCTGTTAAGATTACAGGTTTTACTATTTTATTTTTTTTTTACTATTGTGATTTTTGATTTGACACTAGCAAATTTTTATCCTGGTCCTGCAGTCAGGATAAAAGGCTAAAATTGACTTTTTCTCTTTAGCTCTTATTCCTTACTAAATTCCATGTTTGGAACATTTATCCCTCATAGCAGCTGTATAAAAACATATACATCTAAGCCTGCATATATGCATTCTGCTCAGGTGGTTCATGTATACTGTATAATCACAGACTCAAAAGACACTGAAGGTCAAAGCTGGGAAGACACAGAATTGCAGTGCAGCAGTTCTGTCTATTCCTCCTCTTTATTCTTGTTTTCTTCTACAACTTCACCTTATCAACTCCTTTCAAAGTCCTTCCTGACAAATCTCACCTGTTCTGTTTTTCTCTTCAGTATTCTGTCCCATAAGCTTCTTTTTTTTTGACTTCCTGAAGATGCAGAGAAGAGGAAGAAAAAAACCAAACATGGAGCATGCGGTATGAGGATTTAGAGAACACTTGAGGATTTTGCCTTTTGTAAAGACCAATCACTTACCAACCCGGGCTGTACGTTAATGAATCAGGTAGACAGGAGTAAAAGGAAGCAATTCAATAGTATTGTTAGTCACTCAGCACATCAGTCTTCTAGGAACATGACTGCCTCAATTTCTAATCTGGGTTAACTTTTTTCATGAAGTTATTTTGCTGTTTTAATTTTATATATATAAAAATATATAAATTATCTGAAATTTTGGCATACTAGACATTCATGAAAATTAGGATTTTTATAGATTTCCCGCCCCCAATGCTTAAAAGAATATCAAAATGTTACTCTAATTCTTCATTAAAATCTCCAGATTCCCATTGCAGTGGTTTTTATAGGCAAGTCTGCTTTATTGCCTTTACTAGTGTGGTGCTTTTGTTTTTCCTTATTTCGCATGTCTTTTCCTTAAACTTTACGTATGTTTTCTGTGTACTATCGATTATTACACATCAGTTTGCATGCAGTAGAAGGGCCCTACTTTTTCAAGTTGATAGTGCAGATAGCTCTTGGGAAAATGCTTTATAGCTGTTGGAGTGAAAATGCTTTTCACACATGTGCTGCTACCAGTTACATTTGATGTTTCAGCTCTCTCAAGTAGGCTTTTCTAAATTTAGGAGTTAGGCTAAGGTGAGTTCAATGAAACCACACACCAGAGACCTCTAACCTTGACTATAGGGCCTTGGAAAATTTGTAGCCACTATTATACGAGAAACAGTAAAATATGACATTTTGAACTTACTTTAAGTAGAAAGGCACTGAAGAATTCTAGTACATTTGTAAATTAAATACGGTGGGAGAAACTACCTTGCCAGGAGATGATACATGTTGGAATTACGGGAATACGCAGTGTGAAAACAACTTATGAAAGAGTAACACTCCAGGAGGGAAAATTTCAAGGCCTCTTTCTTTACTTAAAAAGCTAGAAGCAGTCATTTTAAAGAGAGTTACTAACCCAGGAAAAAATGCCTTGCTAAATTCATTATTATAATGACCTGTGATAAATAAACTGTGATCCTTTCCTCTTCCAGTCTAGCTGCTATTGTGATGTCAGCCACATTTTTGGTGGAGAATGTTGTGATTCACATCCTTCACTGTGAGAATCAACTGAAGTGCATTTTCAGTTGTTTTTGATGTCATTCTATTATGATCACTGACCATTGCTTGATTATTCTGATGAACTGTTGGGGGAGAAAAAAGGAAGAGGGGAAGTTGCTGCTAAGTTATGACTTGTGGTTTGAAAAAAAAAAAAAAAAATCTGTAAGTTATGTGGCAAAATGCCTTATGTGAGGTTTAGTGAGAAAATGCCATAGTTGGATTCAAGTTGTACTTCCTGAGAGGTGGGTTTGACTTGTGCTGTACCTGAAGACTTCAGCCAGGTTGTTCACGATCATAATACATGCAAAATAATCACAAGAGGAGATTGTTGTTCAGTGTTCATGGAGCCTGAGGAAGCATAGCTTTCTGAGGAATAGCTTGCATCAGTTCCTAAGAAAGTAAGGGTAGTTGGTGAAGGGAATCCGTGTTGGCTGCAGACAGTACAAAAGAAGTTGACAACTCATTTGATGGCTTTTAGTAATAAAATTCACTGCACTGTGAAAATCCTTGACAACTTTTCAGGGGCAGTAAGAAATTTTCACTTCATCCAACAGTGGAGCTACAAACTTATCTTATTTAGTGATGGATGTTTGATTTCTAAATGTTGCAACATTGAATTCTGTGGTTTTGAACTAATCTATTTAAAAAACGTGCTCTTTTTTTTTTTTTTGTCAGACTTCAAAGTATTACTTTTCATTCTGAGTTAGAAGTGAAATGACCAGCCACTGTCTGTTTTCAAGAGATGAATCATCTTTGCAATTAAGCCTTCAGCTGGGGCTAAGCTTTTAGTGCCACCAAGCAGTACACCATAAGTGTAAATATCGCAAAGACCTTCATGTCTTAGTCATTACAGCTGATTAGGTTTGAGGTCCTGGTGCAGACATTTGTGTTATCCCATTTTCTGTGCACATGGTCAGCTAGACTTTGTTTTATTAGCTACTTTGTATAAGAGGCTTTGTTCTGTATTTACAAAATAAAGCCAGGCAGAGCTCTTTCAAAAGAGAGTTGTATGTCAATTTTTATCCCTTTTTTTTATTTATAAAGCTGTTCTTTATAAAAGCCGAGGCTCTTAGTTACACTCCTGGTTCTGCTTTGGAATTGTTTTTTTGTTATGCTTAATAATCCATATACAAAAAGAGAAGCTCAATAAGTTTTTGGCTTTTATTTAATATGTAGCATGTGTTCTTAAATATTGCCCCTCACAGATGTATGCATGCTTCCTCAGTAAGCAGTTTTCTTCCCTTTTTTCATCTTAGAGTAAGAATCTGTAAATGAGCCCTAACAGTACTTGGCCTTTTGCAGAAACTGAGCTGGTTTGGGGTGAGTGAACATGTCTGCATGTGCATGTATAGAGGGAAGAGGTTGATGTTTGCATCTGAACCTAGCATATTGCTCTGTAATTCATCATCTGGTTTTCCAGCTTTGGCATGACGGAGACAGCACTCTGTAGGTCAGCTGAAACAGTATGGCACATTCTCCCTCTGCTGTATCCTGTTGGTTTATGACTTCTTAGGGTCAGAGGGAGCTGGGGTTAATTCAGCAAAGGAATCCTTTGACTGATATAAATTCCTTGGCTTGTTCATAAATTGTAAAAGAAATTCTACGGGCTGCTCCTTGGGCTTTAAAACTGGGGGCCAGGAGGTTAATTACTTCCCTAAAGCTTCCAGCAACGTTCAGTGTTAACAGTTGCTGGCTGCGGTTTGTGCAGCTTCACAGTTGCCTTATACATAGCTATTTAAATCTGTTAATTGCTGTCGCGTGTGTGTGTGTTTGTGCCTATGTAATATATATATGCGCACATGCATTTTATCTGTCTGATATTTATACTGTTGCTTTCCTAATTAGTTTTATCCTAATCCCTTCCGTCTTTGGGACGTAGCACATCAAGTTGTGCAACAATGGAAGTTGTGGGGTATTTTATATTTGCAGGTAAATTTATTTTTGAATTAAGAGAATTAAGTGTTTTAACTGTACTCTGTTACATAGGGACTGGTGAGGGATGACTAATACATGTCTTCCGGAAAATGCTTATACATGCAAATACAGGTTAAAACAACCTTATTTTGCTTTTTACATCACAGTTAGTCAAAGTCCTGATAAGAAGCCAGTAAGATAACTATGACTTTACAGGGTGCCCAGAGAGGTGGTAGATGCCCCATCCCTGGGATCACTCAAGGTCAGGTTGGACAGGGCTCTGAGCAACCTGATCTACTTGAAGATGTCCCTGCTCATTGCAGGGAGGTTGGACTAGATGGCCTTTAAAGGTCCCTTCCAACCCAAACTATTCTATGAATCTATGATCTGTCCTAAATGTTTTCTGAAAAGATGGATGTTTCTATTCTGTACCGTTTAAAAGCCATGACTTAATGTGACGTTCTTAGATGTTATATTCTCTGGTATATGGAAAAAGCTACTTTATTTTGTAAGCATGAGTTGAGAAGGTTCTTTATAAATTTGCTTCCATGTACATGAGTAAAAGATAATACCAAGAGATTACATTAAAACAGCAAAAAGTATTCAGTCCGTGGACTTACAAATCCTTTGTGTCAACACAGTTAAGCTTACCTTTTCAATTTCCATTTCCGTAATTA